TACCAGATTGGTTGTGATTTCTTGGTTTTCGGTGTGTTGATCATGTTTGTTTTTTAAAACTGTTCATACTTTTGTTGATATTACATGAACGTTTAATAAATATTCCTCAATTATCTTTCTTTAAAGTACCACAATTATTAAACAAAGGATCAAATGATGTGACATCATTGTTTCCTTGAATAACTCATTTTGTTATCAAGTCAGACATACTAGGTAGTTAATGGTTTGACATTCCATCTACACCATATACACAGAAAGGTGCTGATTGCATGCATTCCTATAAATATCACTAACCTACCACAAGGTAAACATGTATGGCATCTATCACGACTTTTACTGTTTAAATATCTGGGTACCATGTTACAGCGATGGGTGGGAGACAGGCTGAGGAATATTTATCTGGTATCAATTCATTATTTAGATCTTATAATAAAAAACAAAACATGACCACAGAGTATACAGAGAACATTGAATATCTTTTTTAAAACACAAATACTCTAAAACGTAGACTTTACTGTGTATTTGTTGATTATAAGAAAGCGTTTGATAGTTTTTTACATAATAAGTTATGGTTTAAGTTGTGGAAATATGGGCTCGGGCGACGTTTGCTGAATGTGACAAAATCCATATATGAAAATGTTAAGTCGTGCGTGAATAAATTGTCTCCAATGTACCACTTACAAGTCGGTTTATTACAAGGTGAATCTTTTTCACCGATTGTGTTTTCCTTGTTTGTTAATGACATGGAATCAGAACATCTTGTATCCAATTGTCAAAGCTATCATATAAAACCCCTTAATTTGTGTATCGTGTATGCAGATGACAAGGTGCTATTTTCTGAATGCATTGTTGAACTCCAAAATATTCTGGATTTTTTTAAGAGTTACACGAATTATTGGAACCTGACCTTGAATGTCGATAAGAACAAGATAGTAATTTTTAGAAAAAGTAAACGATTATTGCCAAATGAACGTTGGTATTTTGATGGAAAATATATAGAGATTGTAGATCAATTTTGTTGTTTATTATTGGTATACAATTATAACGGTAAATTTACAATAGCACATAATAACATAGCTGCACAAGGTAGAAAGGCGTATTATCTCCTTTATCGTAGGATTAACAAGTTTGTTTTGAATAGAAAAACTAAGTTATCATTATTTGATACTTATGTATTATGTATTTTGAATTATTGTTGCGAGGTCTGGGCCTTTGATATAGCACTACAAATTGGAAAGGAACATTTGTCGTTTTTAAAATCTCTTTTGGGTGTTAAGAAAAACATCTAATAATTCCATGGTGTATTTCGAGCTAGGTCGCTTTCTATTTTTAAGCATAGGCTACAACTTTTGACAAATAATTTGTATATTAAGAGCTTGTTATTATGAATTAGTTGATCTTGATACCAAGAAGCTTAATTTTCATTTGAAACAGAATTTATTTAGATTTGGTTTTGGTGATGTATGGTTGGCACAAGGCGTTTCAAATGAAACGTATTTCTCATTGATATATAAACAACGTATACAGGATAAATTTATTCATTTTAAGAAGTAGATTTGAAAACGCCTCAAAGTGTACATTGTATAAACATATAGCTGATCGGTTTGTGACACAATCGTACCTCAACAAACCACTAACTATGAAAATAAAAATGATACTGTCTAAGTATAGATTGAGCTCACAGAAGTTGAATGTTGAAACGGGTAGATACTTTGGTGTTAATATTTCTCAAAGAATACGCACTCTGTGCGACAGTAATGAAATAGAAGATGAAATTCATTTTATTTTACTATGTCCATCTTATTCAGAATTACGTATCTTGTATATCAAGCCTTACTTTTATCGCCGGCCATCTGTATTCAAAATTATTCAACTATAATTTAGTAATAATGTAAAAACTCTCAAGAATTTTGGCAGGTTTCTGATTAATGCTACGGCAAAAAGAAAAGAATTATTAAACACTTGAATTATTTTTTACTTATGCTTTTCGAGATATTTTTGAGCAATTGAGTGTTTCTTAATTAATCTATACATTTTAATTTGTTAAAAGTAACACTTCCGAGTACTGGTGCTTCAGAACACCGCTCTGTTTAAAATTTGCTTGATATTTATGCATACTCATGAATTTTGTGTCTTAATCTTATTGGTTATGGCTAATGTTCTCCGCCATCTTGTGTAAATGTAAATGTTATTATTTGTATGTATATTGTCAATCTTATATGCTGTTGCATAAGGATTGAAATAAAATCGAGTACACCCATTCTAAATAAACCTATGTAAAGCAGTTAAAACTATGCATAGAACACAAAGGAAAAGACGCCGACACTGCTTACTTACTTAGCAAGTACTGTGTACTGTTAATTTAGACGGAGAAAGCAAAAACAGACATCTGCACTGTTTACCTAGACAGAGCAAGCAAAAAAACGACATCTGCACTGTTTACTTAGAACAAGCAATATTATAATACAAAAACTGACATTACAAAGAGTGGTTATTAATCTTTTTTGTGTGTGTTTGACGCTGTGATGATTACAGATTTAAACAGAAAGTGTCAGAAACAGAACACACGTCATGATGTCTCATTTCGGTTACAGGAAATCACTTTGGCTATTATCTTTCGCGGATCCGTTTTAAAATATTTCTGTCGCCAATACTTAAACTTTTAAATCGTACAGTAGAAATGTTTGATCATGGCTTTTTTTTAAATTTCTGCTGGTTCAAGTAAATATTCATTGAGAAAAACCCTGTTTTATTTAAACGCAATCTTACTCATGTGAATGGGTTGCGTAAACTTGTTATTTTTAGTAATAACATTTTAATGTATAACCTTACTCATGAAACAGAATCATCTATTGGTGATATTACAAGTGTACCCAATCTAGTGGTAACTTAAATGTTACAGTGACTATTTTAGATGTGTATCAACAAAACGAAACACAAACAGATCTGTATTTTTTTACTTCGCTCTTCCACATTGAAACTAGTAAAAACAACTTGATTTTCCGACTACAGAAGCGTGTATCGTGCTTTTGTTCTGAGCGAAAAAAATACAATGGGGCATTGTTTTAAACATTGCTATACATGTCTATCGGAAATGTGTTCATATGTATAAAAAATCATATGCAAATGGAAAACATCTGATCTGACAAACACAAACATTCCCAAACATTCGCGCCAACAATGTCATTCTACTCCATAATATTCTCATATCTTATGGTACCAGATTTCTTGCGAAACTAGATTTGCTTTGTTGGTCGGAATTCGTTATTACAATATAAACTAATTATCTCTTCAAAACTGTATAAATTATTATGTGACCATACAAACACCAGTCTATAGCGAGGTATCGCTGAGTGATGAGCCTGGCCAACCGAGATCTATGCCTAGCTTGCAACCTTCAAGCCTTTGTACCCATGACTGCCTCGGTCGGACACCAGCCTCGTCAGCTTTCTTGTCAATATGTCTTGTTTAAGCATATGGGCTATGTACAATTCAACTTTTATCGATGGATTTTCATATTCTAAATGCTATTGGTTACATACCTATTTGGAGATATGTAACAAGCGAACACAATATTATCTCAAAGAATTTCTTTACAACATTCAAATCTGCTGACTCTTTGTTAACTTTGGTGCACATCTCCTGATAGTTTGTCGTTTCACTGTGTGAAACATTTCTGATACACCGAGTTCCTATCCTAACATTCGGCTTATCCTTTCATTATTTGTAAAATTCTGCTTTGTCAGACTGTGACAGTTTGTCGCGCATCACGTGGAAAAATATTTGTTGACAATTACCAACCACAAATGATAGGATTTATTTACCCAGAAGACAAAACTCATTGGAACCGTGTGTAAGTGATGCTAAATATTTCAGTAATTGTTTGCTCGTAAGTAGGACAGGTGTCATCAATATACGTTTTAGCAGAAGACGCTTTCCACTGTGGAGCATCTTCTCTTGGTCTCCTTGTACTAGGCCTGCGAGCCTGAGCCGTGAGGTTTTCCCTTTGTTACATAGCATAACTGCACACCCACTAAAGTCTTTCCTTGTGCTATGCAGCTGAAAGGGCCATATATTTAAATACTCGCTAACTGTCGGTTTTTTCTCGTTATTTCGATAAATGCGACGATGCGTGTTCGTTTATAGGGCTGCTGCACCTCCCCGTCTAGATTCTGGATTTTCTTTGTATCACTTTGGATTTTCTTCAATCGCCTCATAGGCTTCAAAATTAAGGCCCTTAGCATCACTGGCGAGTCCTAGAAGGATGAAACAGCTGTATGATGCAGTTTAATTCGTTGTCTGGCTCTACCGTATCTTACCCAAAATTATCAAAGATGCTATTCTTATGTGTGTCTTTGTACAAACTTTATCTTCATTGGACAAATTACGAGCGAAGCGTATTACACTACATTGAAGAGGAAGACACGTGTCTTTTTAGTTTCATTTTTAATATTAGTACATTTTGATGCTTAAAACGTTCTTAATGATTTGCATTTGTGCAAAGTGAAAGTGACTGACAAGGTCAATGAAAGTTGAATCATTTTAGCTGCCTACTGGACCATCAACAAACAGTGTCAGTTGTAAAATTCATTCGAAAATAAGTATATGTATACATGATTTAAATTTTATGATATTGTCACATACATAAATGGTAGCCAATCTTCTAATGCTACACCGACCTAAGACGGATGTTAGACGGTTAGTTGCCATGCCTGTTTCTTGTGTAAGACGGTCAGTTGACAAGCCCTATTCATGTCCTTTTTCGACAGTCAGTTGAAATGGCCTTTTCGTGCCTTGTTAGATGGTCAATTGTCATGTCTGTTTCCTGTTGTATTAGACGGTGAGTTGGTATGCAAGTAAAACGATCAGCTCCCATGCCTGTTCCTTGTGTAAGACGGTCAGCTGTCATGCCTGTTCCTTGTGTAAGACGGTCAGCTGCCATGCCTGTTCCTTGTGTAAGACGGTCAGCTGTCATGCCTGTTTCGTGTCGTGTAAGACGGTCAGTTGTCATCCCTGTTTCGTGTCGGGTGGAGACAGGAGTAGAACAGATACAGGCAAAAAAGATGCAACACAAAACCAGGAATAGCAGAATAGGCCAGCATGCACCAAGGCATACAGGGAACGTTTCCACTGTAAGCGAGACACAGCACAAGTGACATCATCATGGCGTTCTCCAAGTAAAATACGAGGTAATAGAGTATCGCCGTTCGTTTGGATTCCTCCTTGTTCATGTTGATGAAGCTGAAAACCTCCACGTAGCTAAGGAAGAGGTAGAAACAGCACGTGCAACGACAGTTACACATATTATTGTTCTCCGGATACACATAACATGCATTGAACACGAACATAAGCACGAGGTGGAGGGAGATACCTATCAGTGTCCACCAGCCCGCAACCTGAATACACAGCACCGGTAAAATAAGACGGGGTCCGAGTTCAAACAACCGCATCATCACATACACCAAAATCGATGAAAACTTCACTGACTCATGCGGTTGGTTGAGTTTCCGGTTTGTCATGTAACATGATGTTACAGAGACCGATATGGATACCAAGGAAACTAACAAGAATAAATCTGAAAACAATTGCGACGAAACTGATTACATTGTACCAACTATCGTGTTTACAGTATTATGAGAATGAATGTCAGAATACCTTCAAAAATATACGGAGTGGGAAGTTTTATAGCAAATAATGAATGATTTTAGGTAAGTTTTATACGAGACAGGAGATTTATAGAGAATAATGAATGTTTAGGTAAGTTTTATACGAGACAGGAGTTTTATAGAGAATAATGAATGTTTAGGTAAGTTTTATAGAGAATAATGAATGATTTTAGGTAAGTTTTACAGAGAATAATGAATGATTTTAGGTAAGTTTTATACGGGACAGGAGTTTTATAGATAATAATGAATGTTTTTCGGTAAGTTTTATAGAGAATAATGAATGCTTTTGGGTACGTTTTATACGAAACAGGAGTTTTATAGAGAATAATGAATGTTTAGGTAAGTTTTATACGAGACAGGAGTTTTATAGAGAATAATGAACGATTTTAGATAAGTTTTATACGAGACAGGAGTTTTATAGAGAATAATGAATGTTTTAGGTTACGTTTTATACGAGACAGGAGTTTTATAGAGAATAATGAATGATTTTAGATAAGTTTTATACGAGACAGGAGTTTTATAGAGAATAATGAATGTTTTAGGTTACGTTTTATACGGGACAGGAGGTTTATAGAGAATAATGAATGTTTTAGGTTACGTTTTATACGAGACAGGAGTTTTATAGAGAATAATGAATGTTTTAGGTTACGTTTTATACGGGACAGGAGGTTTATAGAGAATAATGAATGTTTTAAGTTACGTTTTATACGGGACAGGAGGTTTATAGAGAATAATGAATGTTTTAGGTTACGTTTTATACGGGACAGGAGTTTTATAGAGAATAATGAATGTTTTAGATAAATTTTATACAAGACAGGAGTTTTATAGAGAATAATGAATGTTTTAGGTTACGTTTTATACGAGACAGGAGTTTTATAGAGAATAATGAATGTTTTAGGTAAGTTTTATACGAGACAGGAGATTTATAGAGAATAATGAATGTTTAGGTAAGTTTTATAGAGAATAATGAATGATTTTAGATAAATTTTATACGAGACAGGAGTTTTATAGAGAATAATGAATGTTTTAGGTTACGTTTTATACGAGACAGGAGTTTTATAGAGAATAATGAATTATTTTAGGTAAGTTTTATACGGGACAGGAGGTTTACAGATAATAATGAATGTTTTAGGTTACGTTTTATACGAGACAGGAGTTTTATAGATAATAATGAATGTTTTAGGTTACGTTTTATACGAGACAGGAGTTTTATAGAGAATAATGAATGTTTTAGGTTACGTTTTATACGAGACAGGAGTTTTATAGAAAATAATGAATGTTTTAGGTTACGTTTTATACGAGACAGGAGTTTTATAGAGAATAATTAATGTTTTAGGTTACGTTTTATACGAGACAGGAGTTTTATAGAGAATAATGAATGTTTTATGTTACGTTTTATACGAGACAGGAGGTTTTATAGATAATAATGAATGTTTTTCGGTAAGTTTTTTTTACTTTATTTGATCCCTGTCCTTACCTCTTGTCCTTGTTTCATATTCAGTGCTAAATTTCAGATACAACTGTAACAGAAATTTGAGGGTTGTTTCTAGGTACGCCTCTAGAAGTCCTATTATAGCTGCATCCCTGAGTTCTACTTCCGCCTTCCGTATTCTATTTTCGTCTTTTCTCTTGCTTTTCCATCCCTGATACATGTTATATAAGTATTCCGCTAGCCTGAAAGAAATCATTAGGTTACCGGTTGTTTACAGAATCAAATTCATTAGTATCATATACGTCATAAGCTTGTCCGAGTTGTCCAATTAAGCGGAAAACATTAATATATACTAACCTGAAAGCGCGGCCGAATTGGAGAAACGAGAAAAAAACCCGGCATATTCTCAGTTTTGTTTTAGAATGACATGAATTTGTTCTATGACTGTTCAAGTTACGATCTGGTTCAAAAGCCGCACCACAGGTACCCAATGAAGATGTTCTGTCGTCCGTCTGTCGATGTGGCTGTTGCAGGTCAATGATTGTCCACAACAATGTAAATATACCAACAACGAAGGTAGAGATACCGATAAAACTTAAAGTAAGATAAAATATCAGATGTTGATGCGAGGTATGATACTCCCAAAGTAACTTCACTTCTAAACCTACTTCACTTAGACAGAGACAGAAAGAGATTCCAGCGATAAGGCAGTCCAGTGCACGATCATGATCCGTCCTGGGAACGTGTCTCAATACTGGCAGATTCCAGAAGCAAGATGTACATTTTGTACATCCCGTTAACTCATTAGAGACGTCACTTCTGGTGTGACAGCTTCCTTCATCATCAAAGCTTGGTCTTAATGGAGCATCGACATCGTCTAACGGGACTGTTTCAGACAGGTCGATTCCGTCACCTGTTGATACACGTCTTAGGGGATGTTGATGTCTCGAAATCATCGCGCCATCTACTTGGTCGATTCCATCAACCGACACCTCGCCTGATGATACACCTCTTAGGGGATGTTGATGTCTCGAGATCATCGCGCCATCTACTTGGTCACACATCTTCTTGTCAAGTATCCTGAAACGAATTTATATACGTAAAGAGAAATTGTTTTTGAATGTTTGCATATACATATTCAGGCAGAATATGTTAATGTTTGTTTAAAGCTTAATTGTATCTATTCCACTGCTTTATCGGGTTTGGCTATTGTATCAAAAGTACCCGGATAATTCTTCCTCATAATTTTACGTAATACATTTCTCTTGTTTTCTTTTATTTAAATCCCCGGTGTGACACCCTTTATCACTTTATTCCTTTTCGGATTCAAATACCATCAGTTCATGTGAATATTTGCCGATTTACTCTGACAAGTGGTTCCATAAATTTATAGCGGACGGTGGGGCGACAAATCCAGTGAATGGGGGACTTCAAACCCGTGTTTTTATACACATATTTGAGCCTCTCCTGCAAATTTGGGGACAGGCTAACTATTTTGATCAACTTGAATCAAAGTCAATTACACCGTGTCCAATAAAAATCGGAATTGATGTATGGGAAGAAGGAAAACCTTATTTAAATGTATCTATACTAATCCAATTTGGGGAACTCGGACAGAACAATAGTAGATAAACTTGGATAAGGTCATCTTCCTTCCTATACACATATTCTGAATTTCATTGGCGAAAACGAAGTTATTTACAGTATAAAGAATAGTTTTAATTTGCAGTATCGGCAAGAAAATGTAAAATTTCGATTGTGTTTAGACACCCCCTAGTTCACACCTTTAGAAACCCCTTGTCTACATAAAAACTCCGAGATAAACAATCATTGTTCTGAGATTCTACAGCCGAAGGAATCAAAATCCATAATAATTTGTGTTATGTATGGAAATGTCGTCATACCTAACAATCGATTGTAATGATGCATTCCTTTGCAAGAGGCCCAATGGACCTGCAGCGCTCACCTGATATATATATATATATTAACAATTTTCTATATATATATATAACATGCCTCTAGGCCTTTTAGTTCATGAGAAGAATTCGTTTAAATGGTTTCACAAATTTGACCCCTGCGACCATGAATATAGATGAAGATCATCTCTTTTTGCCAACATTGTCGAGCTTCATCCTATGAACATACCAGCCAAATATCATGTCTCTAGGCCTTTCAGTTCATGAGAAGAAGTCGTTTAAGGGTTTTAACAGATCTGACCCCTGTGATCTTGAATATAAGTCAAAAGTCATTTATATTTATTTTCGCGAACTTTGTAGGGCTTCATCCTCGGAAATACCAGCCAAATATCAAAACATTTTGGCCATTAGTTATTGAGAAGAGTTGTTTGAATGGAAATGTTGCTCTTCGGGCCAGGCGAGCTAAAATGAGAGGAAAGCGATTTGCAAAAGTGTAATATGAAATTTTTTCCTCACTGGCCAATCTTGCATTCTTGATTAACCATACAAAATTCAACCTTTATAAAGATCTTAAAAGATACCCGAATATCGCCAATGATCATATTTGGAACGATATCAAGTCCATTTCTTACCCGACCTCGTTTTACACGCTTCGATTTGTACACCCCTGTGTATACATTTTGGAGACCCTGGTGTGGCGATTGGACACGGTGAATAAACATGTGTCAACACGGAACAAGTCATATTTAATCCGTGGTAACACACGTCGTGTTTCGTATGTGTTCAACGTATAACCTCTAAACCCATGACCGGTTGTGATGATTCAAAGATCTGTCCCATTTTCACTGCGACAAAGAGACGCATAAAGCTCTGGATCACAAGGTTAATCGTTATCAGTTCGGTGTCATTGCAGCTGATACTACTGATAAACTATTAGAGCCCGAGGTTTGTCGTAACATGTGTAATAGTATTGCATGTCACGATTTGATTATACACATGTACTGAGAAATTATCAGATAAATAAAAATAGCAAAGTTTATCAAATTTTTGGTTAAGTTCATCATCCCTTCTAAATTTCAATTTTCTTTCGATTAATCTTGTTCATCATTAGTCCTATCCTACATTTCAATATTAAGGCCCTTGGCATCAGTGACGAGTTCTAAAAGGACGAAACAGCTGTATGATGTAACATCAGTGACGAGTCCTAGAAGGACGAAACAGCTGTATGATGTAACGTCAGTGACGAGTCTTATAAAGACGAAACAGCTGTAAGATGTAGCATCACTGACGAGTCCTAGAAGGACAAAATAGCTGTAAGATGTAGGATCACTGACGAGTCCTAGAAGGACGAAACAGCTGTATAATGCAGTTTAGTTCATTATTTGGCTCTGCTGTATCTAATCCCAAACTTGTATTGAAAGGCGCCGGTTTCTCCATAACCTTCACCAACCTCCATGTGCTTCAAATGTTTAATTTTTGTGACAATATGCCTTAATGATTAAGTCAAATAAACAGGAAGAGTAAGAGAGATAACTCTAGTTGTTCTACTCCCGGGGATGATAACGAACTGAAATCATTTATATATACTATAAATAACTTACCGAAGTCCTGGTCTGTTAACGATCTGTGGGGTTAAACATGGCTACCATCCTAAAATACTACACAAACCATATTGTACATCACTTCAGGTAGTCCCAGCCTTACAAAGTCTAAAACCTCTCACAAACATATATACCAGATGTAAGCACTGCGCCGTGACTGTACATGTGTCGGGTATACAGGTAAACTGAAATATACATGTGTATACAAAGATATGTGTGAGAATAAATACAAATGTACACGTTAGAGTGTAATAATTACATGTGTTTATCAAGGTAGACGTCGAGTAGTAATTACATATATCTACCTAGGTAGATGTTACAGTGTAGTAATTACATATATCTACCTAGGTAGATGTTACTGTGTAGTAATTATATATATCTACCTAGGTATATGTTACTGTGTAGTAATTACATATATCTACCTAGGTAGATGTTACTGTGTAGTAATTACATATATCTACCTAGGTAGATGTTATGGTGTGGTAATTACATATATCTACCTAGGTAGATGTTACGGTGTAGTAATTACATATATCTACCTAGGTATATGTTACGGTGTAGTAATTACATATATCTACCTAGGTAGATGTTACTGTGTAGTAATTACATATATCTACCTAGGTAGATGTTACAGTGTAGTAATTACATATATCTACCTAGGTAGATGTTACTGTGTAGTAATTACATATATCTACCTAGGTAGATGTTACTGTGTAGTAATTACATATATCTACCTAGGTATATGTTACTGTGTAGTAATTACATATATCTACCTAGGCAGATGTTACTGTGTAGTAATTACATATATCTACCTAGGTAGATGATACGGTGTAGTAATTACATATATCTACCTAGGTAGATGTTACGGTGTGGTAATTACATATATCTACCTAGGTAGATGTTACTGTGTAGTAATTACATATATCTACCTAGGTAGATGTTACGGTGTGGTAATTACATATATCTACCTAGGAAGATGTTACTGTGTAGTAATTACATATATCTACCTAGGTAGTTGTTACAGTGTAGTAATTACATATATCTACCTAGGCAGATGTTACAGTGTAGTAATTACATATATCTACCTATGTAGATGTTACGGTGTGGTAATTTCATATATCATAATGAAGTTGCACATTACACATATGTACAATTAAAACAAGAGGCCCATGGGCCTTAACGGTCATCTGACAAAAAGCAAGCCAAACCTAGAAAGTGGGTTGAGGTCATTCATTTGAACAAACTTGGTAGCCTCTCCTCCAAGCATCTTACAGGCCCAATATCAGCACTCATGGACTTTTGCTTGTTGAAAAGAAGTCGTTTGTATATTTTAACATATTTGACCCCTGTGACCTTGAAAGTGGGTTGAGGTCATTCATTTGAATAAACTTGGTAGCCTTTCCTCCCAGCATGCTACAGACCCAATATCGGCACTCATAGACTTTTGCTTATTGAGATGAAGTCCTTTGTATATTTTAACATATTTGACCCCTGTGACCTTGAAAGTGGGCCAAGGTCATTCATTTGAACAAACTTTGTAGGGCTCCATGCCAGCATGCTATGGGCCAAGTATTAGAGGCCTTCTATATTTGAGAAGAAGTTATTTAAAGATTTTGACATATTTGACCCCTGCGATCTTGAAAGTTGTTCAAGGTCATTCATTTAAATAAACTTTGTAGCCTTTCCTCCCAGCATGCTACAGACCCAATATCGGCACTCATAGACTTTTGCTTATTGAGATGAAGTCCTTTGTATATTTTAACATATTTGACCCCTGTGACCTTGAAAGTGGGCCAAGGTCATTCATTTGAACAAACTTTGTAGGGCTCCATGCCAGCATGCTATGGGCCAAGTATTAGCCCCCTAGGCCTTCTAGTATTTGAGAAGAAGTTATTTAAAGATTTTGACATATTTGACCCCTGTGACCTTGAAAGTTGTTCAAGGTCATTCATTTAAACAAACTTGATAGCCCTTCATCCCAGCATGCCACAGGCACAATATCAGCAATCTGAGCCTTTTGGTTATTGAGAAGAAGTTGTTTAAAGATTTTAACATATTTGACCCCTGTGACCTTTAAAGTGGGTCAAGGTCATTCATTTGAACAAACTTGGTAGTCCTTCATCCCAGCATGTCACAGGCCCAATATCTACACTCTGAGCCTTTTGGTTAATGAGAAGAAGTTGTTTAAAGATTTTAACATATTTGACCCCTGTGACCTTTAAAGTGGGTCAAGGTCATTCATTTGAACAAACTTGGTAGAGCTCCATGCCAGTATCCTCTGTGCCAAGTATTAGCCCCCTAGACCTTCTAGTATTTGAGAAGAAGTCGTTTGAATGAAAAGTTTACGGACGGCGCACGGCGCACGACGCACAGCGCACGGCGCACGGCGCACGGCGGACGACGACGGACGAAGCATGATGACTATAGGTCATCGGACCCTTCGGGTCAGATGACCTAATAAAACCTGACATAAAAAGAAGAGAATGACAAAGCCACTCTCAAACAAGTATTGAGAGACTATATTAAATCATATAAACAACATTATTTGGTTATGCACTTCATTATAAAATCAACCAATCACTTTGATCACCATTCACAGTGTTCAATTAAAAAAAAGTACTGGCTGCCCACCATGACATAAAATATTTTAGTAATGCCTTTTTGAGCACTTCTTTAAAAATGATACAATTCCCGATTCTATAAATTTCTTTTCCTAACAATTCTGATTCTGTATAATTTCATTAGATGTCTTAAAAAGCATTACTATATACTCTGTTGATACAGTAAACAAATTTAAGCCCAATCTCCGATATGAATGATGATCAAGTGTAAATTTAAAAGAGAACTGGATGTAATCACTGAACTCTCTGATAGTTTTAATTTTATTGACTGACCTTTGTTTGTCATTTCTAATCCATGAGAAATGTTTTTGAAAATACAAATGATACAAAGAAAACTACTTAATTCATCTATTACCGTCACACAAGTCAACCTTTTCTCCTTCATTGTATTGAAGTGCCTAAAACATATGGCCTGTTTTTAGACTTATCACCTGAAAATGTTTAAAATACTTTTCTTTTCATATTTGTATAAGTATGCTCTCATTAATAGCAGAGATGCCCCTGTTAAGTATGTATGGTTATGTATGTCTTTTGATTTTGTCTGGGTGTGGAAATATCTTAAAGGACTTTCGACGTTTTGAAAGTTTTTGGAAGTTGATAAGGTTAGTCCTCCCCTTCACACGTGTAAATTTTCAACTTTATATACAGTTAGTTTAAACTCTCAAACCTTTGTGTTAAGTCCATAAGCTGATTTTAATATTGATTATCTGTGATCATGCCTATTCTATTGCTATACTTTTGAGTTTAAGTTCAACTCACACCTATGTTTGTCACTGTAATAGGGTCGGTGTGGCTTGTATATAGTGTTAAATAGGGTGTCTATCACTCAGATAACAGAGCATGCTTCTTTGGCTCAGTAGAGCCGGTCTGTTTAGCACGCTGGAGACCTGGGTTCGATTCCTGGTCTGGGTGCTCAGCAGGAATGTGTCTTTTCCTTTTTCTGCTATATTGGCACCAAACAGAATCCCACAAGTCGTGGTATCTGGAGTCTCCGGTTGAGATTAAGGAAATCTCAAGAAAAACAGGGGGAGAAGTGTATAGGGAGTGGGTTAATGCGGCTTGTTTTAAAGTGTTAAATAAAGTCTCTGTCACTCGGCTGACAAGTTGGTGTGGCTTGTATATAGTGTTAAATACAGTCTCTGTCACTCGGCTGACAGGTTGGTGTGGCTTGTATATAGTGTTAAATACAGTCTCTGTCACTCAGCTGACGGGTCGGTGTGGCTTGTATATAGTGTTAAATACAGTCTCTGTCACTCAGCTGACGGGTCAGTGTTACAGTCTCTGTCACTCAGCTGACAGGTTGGTGTGGCTTGTATATAGTGTTAAATACGGTCTCTGTCACCAAGCTGATGGGTCAATATGGCTTGTATATAGTGTTAAATACGGTCTCTGTCACCAAGCTGACGGGTCGGTGTGGCTTGTATATAGTGTTAAATACAGTCTCTGTCACTCCGCTGACGGGTCGGCTGTTACGGGTCAGTGTGGTGTGGCTTGTATATAGTGTTAAATGCAGTCTATGTCACTCTGTGAACTGGTCAGTGTGGCTTGTATATAGTGTTAAATACGGTCTCTGTCACTCAGCTGATTGGTCAGTGTGACATGTATATAGTGTTAAATACGGTCTCTGTCACTCGGCTGACAGGTCGGTGTGGCTTGTATATAGTGTTAAATACAGTCTCTATCACTCAGCTGATGGAGCATGCTTCTACGGCTTTTTTAGTAGAGCTGGTTGATTATCACGCGGAAACCCAGGTTCGATTCCTGGTCTTGGCACTCAACAGGAATGTGTGTTTTCCCTGTCCTGTTACAGTCACAATGATAACTTGCTTGGGCTACTGTAATCGAAGATTCTCATGATTGCTATCATAAGACAAGATTCTTGGAATGTATTGTTATTACACATCCAGATTTTTTAAGATTATACATAAATAACTGATTTGTGGTAATTGTGTGACAAAAAAATTCAAATTTGTAAACTCATATTTAATGCACATTTTAACACAATAATACATTGCTATGTAGGTCTGATTATGTTTCATGACTTTACAAGGAACACATTTTAAAACAAGACCCATAAACAAATTCAAAATGGGATACATTGGCATTTCAGGACAGAAAGATAGAAATATATATAAATTTTATCTTGATCCTTCTGAAATTGTAAGAAATAATATTTCCTGAACTGATCAGCAAATTTTCTCTGGAAATTTTTCTCCAGAAATTTGCCTTTCAGTTCAGGAAATAATCTTTCAGCAAATCTGCGGAGAAAATTTGTCGTATTATTGGGCCAGTGCACCTCCGCGTTTAGATTTTGACTTTTCTTTCCATAGCCTTGGATTTTCCTCTGTTGCCTCCAATGTATTATTGTGATTGTCACCTGTTGATACAGGTAAATTTGGGGTAAAGTGATTTCCACCTGTTGCTACAGGTAAATTTGTAGTGTTGTGATTGTTCACCTGTTGATACAGGTAAATTGTGGTATTGTGATTTCCACTTGTTGCTTTCACCTGGTGCTACAGATAAACTGAGGTGATTTTCATCTGTTACTATAGATAAACTGAGGTGATTTTCAACTGTCACTACAGGTACACTGAGGTGATTGTCAGCTGATACTACAGGTAAACTGAGGTGATTTTCAACTGTCACTACAGGTAAAATGAGGTGATTTTCAACTGTCACTACCGGTAAACTTAGGTGATTTTCAACTGTCACTACAGTTAAATTGAGGTGATTTTCAACTGTTACTACAGGTAAATTGAGGTAATTTTCGGCTGTTACTAAAGCTAAACTGAGGTGATTTCCACCAGTTGCTACAGGTAAACTGAGGTGATTTTCAGCTGTTACTACAGATAAATTAAGGTGATTTTCAGCTGATACTACAGGTAAACTGAGGTGATTTCTACCTGTTACTACAGACAGATGTGGTCTACTAGAGCAACAGTAGCCATAAAGTCATGTCATATACACAGATTATTTATTTCATTAAAAACAAAACAAACATTTTCATCACTACAAAAATAAAGAAGAACATGGTGTAAAATGACAATTTAAATGCAATTACATGTAAATGCTTGTAATAAGAATTTCAATAATACAAGAACAAATCATTCACATGAATAGTTGGATTTTTCTAGATTAAAATACAAAAATAAGTCCTTTCTATACAGGGGTACCACTGACTATAAGATACATAATACTACTTCACTTCACCACCTCACAGAATGTACCTTCTTGGTTCATTCATTCTCTTAATATATTTTTGTTTGCAATAATGAAGCACTTTAAGAAAAACTTTTATGTAACATATTATAACATATTTTTGTTTTCAATAATAAAGTATTTTAAGAAAAACATTACATATGTAATACATTATAAGTCCTTGCTGGAATTAGAAGTTTCAATTTTTGGATTTAAATTGTTCCCTTTGCCAATCTTCGAATAAGGATGATTGACAAAAAATGTGTCCATATATAAATTGTCTATTCACTGCCTGTATTGATATTAATTCATAAAAATTAAAACCAAAAGAAACTAAAACATTGGGTGTTGTGGCTTTTATAGGATTACCTATATGTGAAGTTTGATGACTTAGTGTCAATGTGACTAATGCCTATTTGACTTATGTCCATGTGACTAGAGTCTGTGACTAATGTCCATGTGACTAGAGTTTGCGTGATAAATGTACATGTGACTAGAGTTTGTGTGACTAATGTATATGTAACAAGAGTTTGTGTGACTAATGTCCATGTGACTAGAGTTTGCGTGATTAATGTACATGTGACTAGAGTTTGTGTGACTAATGTACATGTAACAAGAGTCTGTGTGACTCATGTCCATGTGACTAGAGTCTGTGTGGCTAAAAACTGTGTCATAATTCTGTTAATATCATTTATGTATACATTCATTTATGTCATAATTCTTCTAATATCATACATATATGTAAACACCCCTTAATGTCATAATTCTTCTTATATCATATATATATGTAAACACCCCTTAATGTCATAATTCTTCTAATATCATACATATATGTAAACACCCCTTAATGTCATAATTCTTCTAATATCATACATATATGTAAACACCCCTTAATGTCATAATTCTTCTAATATCATACATATATGTAAACACCCCTTAATGTCATAATTCTGTTAATATCATTTATGTATACATTCATTTATGTCATAATTCTTCTATATCATACATATATGTAAACACCCCTTAATGTCATAATTCTGCTAATATCATACATATATGTAAACACCCCTATATATATATCATACATATATGTAAACACCCCTTAATGTCATAATTCTGTTAGTATCATTTATGTATACATTCATTTATGTCATAATTCTTCTAATATCATACATATATGTAAACACCCCTTAATGTCATAATTCTTCTAATATCATACATATATGTAAGCACCCCTTAATGTCATAATTCTTCTAATACCATACATATATGTAAGCACCCCTTAATGTCATAATTCTTCTAATATCATACATATATGTATACACATGTTATTATCATAAATCTGGTGATGAATAATTTTCTTATTTCTCATGGTGAACATTTCTCTTCAAATATTTCCTGTGATGAACATTTCTATTTAAATATTTCCTGTGATGAACATTTCTATTTAAATATTTCCTGTGATGAATATTTCTATTTAAATATTTCCTGTGATGAAGATTTCTTTTTAAATATTTCCTGTGATGAAGATTTCTATTTAAATATTTCCTGTGATGAAGATTTCTATTTAAATATTTCCTGTGATGAACATTTCTATTTAAATATTTCCTGTGATGAACATTTCTATTTAAATATATCCTGTGATGAAGATTTCTATTTAAATATTTCCTGTGATGAACATTTCTATTTAAATATTTCCTGTCATGAAGATTTCTATTTAAATATTTCCTGTAATGAACATTTCTATTTATTTAGTTCTTTCTTGGAGATTGATCTTCACCAACTCCACTGATGAGTTTCCTTGTAACATTTCCTGTGATGAATAATGTTCCTAAGACATTTTGACAATGAATGATTTTCACATTTCTTGTGATGAATATTTCTCTTTAAATATTTCCTGTGATGAAGATTTTTCTTTAAATATTTCCGGTGAAGAAGAATTTTCCTTAAACATTTCTGGTGATGAATAATTTTCACATTTCTTGTGATGAAGATTTCTCTTTACATAGTTCCAGTGATGAAGAATTTTCCTTAAACATTTCCTGTGATGATGAATTATTGTCCAACATTTCCTGTGATGACGAATTTTGCTTCAACAGTTCTTGTGATGAATATTTCTCTTTTCATATTTTTTGTTCATTAATCTGATCAGGTTGAGGAGAATACTTCTCATGATCACAAAGTCTTTTTTCTGAGAGGTCATCCTCAATTTGATGGTTTCCATGTAAATTTTCTGTGAATGATTTTTGAGAAGAAAGTTCATCACTGACTTTCTGATTCAGACAGGTATCCTGTGTGTGTACATCTTGTCTCTCTAGGCTATTACAGGACACATCAGATGTCTGTTTCTCAATGTAAGATTCTGTATCGTCTCCTCCCAATGTATCCTCTGGAGAAATGGTATTCCCGGGAGATTCCGGCAGCTGCAGTGGACACGGCACCTTAGGAATTGTTTTCTGTGGGTGATAGAACTTGTAGTAAAGTAGCAGACATAACATGTGAAGAACAAAACCTGGGATAACAGAGTAAGCTGTGTAGTACCAGGGGGTGTATACGATGATCCCTGCCCGGGTAAAACCGACCACCACACCCAACATTATAAAGTTCTCCAGATAGAAAACTCCGTAATAGACAACCATAACCCACAAAGTCTTCCCGTCCTTCAGATTTATAAAACAAAACACACTGATGAAGCTGACCAACAGGAGGAAAGAAGAGCGGCTGATCTGTTCATTACACACACCCGTCAGTCGTGGGTTGATGCACATGTACATAATAAATGCAAGGCTCACATGAAAAGCAGCTCCTCCAATCAGCATGTAAAGGAAGTGAGCAACACACAAACCCAGTAACAGGAATCTCGGGCCTAGCTCAAACAGTCGATAGGTCATGTAGAGAGCAGACGGACCATATCGGACATTTCGTCGATCAGACATGGCACGCCTCACAGTTCGGTAATAAGATGTCACAGTGAGAGCTGTTGAGAACCATGATGAAAGCAATGCCAGCACTGGGGAAAGAGAAAGAAAATGTTCATATTAGCATTGAAAAAATGTATCAGTTGGAAATATGCAGTTCCATCTATCTTGAACAAGACAATTTAGTGAAGATCCAGTGACAAGTAGTGTAGAAGATAGAGCCTGGATAAACTTTGTTTGATGTAGGTCAAAGGTCAAAAAGTAGGTCAGAGTGACCTACTTTTCATATATTACACACTGCCTCATCAAGGTTACCGATACCAATATTTACAATTTAAACATCACAAGGACAATTATTTATAAAATATTATTACAGGGGCCAGTGTTTACAAATAACAAACGCAGGGACCAGTATATACAAAAATATCATCACAGGGGCCAGTATTTACACAAATATCATCACAGGGACCAGTATTTACAAAAATATTATCACGGGGACCAGTATTTACACAAATATTATCACAGGGACCAGTATATACAAAAATATCATCACAGGGGCCAGTATTTACATAAATATCATCACAGGGACCAGTATTTACAAAAATATCATCACGGGGACCAGTATTTACAAAAATATCATCACAGGGACCAATATTTACAAAATGTCACCTCTGTATTATCATAGTTACTTCTAAGTACACCAAGATCTCATGAATATGGAGGAGAAAGGCATGTCATTTACAATACATGTTTATAGTGGCTACCTCAAAATATATCAGACACAATAGTCGCCTCGGAGTTCATCTTGAGTCACGTAAGTACAAATGACAGGATAAATCTAGACCAGACATAAGAATTACCTCGAAGTTCATCTAGGGCCACATAAGTACGTATCACAAGGTAGAGTTGCAATAGTAACTGTAAAGTTGACTCCAGAAAGCCATCCACTAGTCCTAGAATGGCAGCATCTCTCTTCTGTTCTATGGCTTTGTGAGAAATTTCTTTCACTTTCTCTTTGTCTTTTTCCTTCCAGGTTTGAAACATGTGGTACACAAACTCCATCATCCTAAATTAAAATAAAATAAATAGCTGTGGATCTACGAGTCGAGTAGATTTGTAATACAAGGTATTAGAAATTATAATATCAAATCATTACCAGACACTACCTCTGTAATACCTGGTCTGGTCCCCTGGTCCACCCCTGATTGACCCATATTTAGTCATTACCAAATACTACCTCTGTAATACCTGGTCTGGTCCCCTGGTCCACCCCTGACAGACCCATATTTAGTCATTACCAAATACTACCTCTGTAATACCTGGTCTGGTCCCCTGGTCCACCCCTGACAGACCCATATTTAGTCATTACCAGATACTACCTCTGTAATACCTGGTCTGGTCCCCTGGTCCACCCCTGACAGACCCATATCTAGTCATTACCAAATACTACCTCTGTAATACCTGGTCTGGTCCCCTGGTCCACCCCTGATTGACCCATATTTAGTCATTACCAAATACTACCTCTGTAATACCTGGTCTGGTCCCCTGGTCCACCCCTGACAGACCCATATTTAGTCATTACCAGATACTACCTCTGTAATACCTGGTCTGGTTCCCTGGTCCACCCCTGACAGACCCATATTCAGTCATTACCAGATACTACCTCTGTAATACCTGGTCTGGTCCCCTGGTCTACCCCTGACAGACCCATATCTAGTCATTACCAGATACTACCTCTATAATACCTGGTCTGGTCCCCTGGTCCACCCCTGATTGACCCATATTTAGTCATTACCAGATACTACCTCTGTAATACCTGGTCTGGTCCCCTGGTTCACCCCTGACAGACCCATATTCAGTCATTACCAGATACTACCTCTGTAATACCTGGTCTGGTCCCCTGGTCCACCCCTGATTGACCCATATCTAGTCATTACCAAATACTACCTCTGTAATACCTGGTCTGGTCCCCTGGTCCACCCCTGACAGACCCATATCTAGTCATTACCAGATACTACCTCTGTAATACCTGGTCTGGTCCCCTGGTCCACCCCTGATTGACCCATATCTAGTCATTACCAGATACTACCTCTGTAATACCTGGTCTGGTCCCCTGGTCCACCCCTGACAGACCCATATTCAGTCATTACCAGATACTACCTCTGTAATACCTGGTCTGGTCCCCTGGTCCACCCCTGACAGACCCATATCTAGTCATTACCAGATACTACCTCTGTAATACCTGGTCTGGTCCCCTGGTCCACCCCTGACAGACCCATATCTAGTCATTACCAGACACTACCTCTGTAATACCTGGTCTGGTCCCCTGGTCCGTCCCTGATTGACCCATATTTAGTCATTACCAAATACTACCTCTGTAATACCTGGTCTGGTCCCCTGGTCCACCCCTGACAGACCCATATTTAGTCATTACCAAATACTACCTCTGTAATACCTGGTCTGGTCCCCTGGTCCACCCCTGACAGACCCATATTTAGTCATTACCAGATACTACCTCTGTAATACCTGGTCTGGTCCCCTGGTCCACCCCTGACAGACCCATATTTAGTCATTACCAGATACTACCTCTGTAATACCTGGTCTGGTCCCCTGGTCCACCCCTGACAGACCCATATTTAGTCATTACCAGATACTACCTCTGTAATACCTGGTCTGGTCCCCTGGTCCCTGACAGACCCATATCTAGTCATTACCAGATACTACCTCTGTAATACCTGGTCTGGTCCCCTGGTCCCTGACAGACCCATATCTAGTCATTACCAGATACTACCTCTGTAATACCTGGTCTGGTCCCCTGGTCCCTGACAGACCCATATCTAGTCATTACCAGATACTACCTCTGTAATACCTGGTCTGGTCCCCTGGTCCCTGACAGACCCATATCTAGTCATTACCAGATACTACCTCTGTAATACCTGGTCTGGTCCCCTGGTCCCTGACAGACCCATATCTAGTCATTACCAGATACTACCTCTGTAATACCTGGTCTGGTCCCCTGATCCCTGACAGACCCATATCTAGTCATTACCAGATACTACCTCTGTAATACCTGGTCTGGTCCCCTGGTCCCTGACAGACCCATATCTAGTCATTACCAGATACTACCTCTGTAATACCTGGTCTGGTCCCCTGGTCCCTGACAGACCCATATCTAGTCATTACCAGATACTACCTCCATAATACCTGGTCTGGTCCCCTGATCCCTGACAGACCCATATCTAGTCATTACCAGATACTACCTCTGTAATACCTGGTCTGGTCCCCTGGTCCCTGACAGACCCATATCTAGTCATTACCAGATACTACCTCTGTAATACCTGGTCTGGTCCCCTGGTCCCTGACAGACCCATATCTAGTCATTACCAGATACTACCTCTGTAATACCTGGTCTGGTCCCCTGGTCCCTGACAGACCCATATCTAGTCATTACCAGATACTACCTCTGTAATACCTGGTCTGGTCCCCTGGTCCCTGACAGACCCATATCTAGTCATTACCAGATACTACCTCTGTAATACCTGGTCTGGTCCCCTGGTCCCTGACAGACCCATATCTAGTCATTACCAGATACTACCTCTGTAATACCTGGTCTGGTCCCCTGGTCCCTGACAGACCCTTACTTGATCATCATCAGAAATAAATCAGGTATATTGGTGAATTGTATTAACATGACAAGTTTACATCTTCCTTGTTCAAAGATCAGTTAGCAGTATCTAAAACATGACCAGAATTAGAGATCTTGTCACTTCAGATCTGCCTAGTTTTAAATGATGTCCAGATATGGTAACAATTATCTGGCCATGAGCTGAGTTACCCAGAGTCACGTTATCTGGTCGAAAGACAGAAAACTAGTTATAATTATGCACATACACGTAAATTTGTTAATAATTTTATTTATAACTCATTGTTACCTCTTTGACCTACAAAATACAGTTCTGTAGGTAATATGTAGTACACCAGGGACCCGATTACACCAAATTTTCATTCCTCAAGTTATATGTGTGGTAAGAAAATACAGGGAAAAAGTATTTAACTGTCTATACCACAACATTAGAAAGTTAGAGTGTGATGTTTCAATGACTACACCGTCACCTTCATCTTATAACACAACCAGAAGATTAGAGTGTGACGTTTCGATGACTACACAGTCACCTTCATCAGACAAATTACCGGTGTGAAGCGTACTAGCAGCGATATACATAGCGTACAAGGCGGTAAAGAATCTACCAGCTTTTTTGGCTGTACTATAATCCTTTGTACACTAAGGTCGAAAATCAAGTGACAAGATGGTAAACAGATTATAGGCCAAAAAAATAAACAAGATGGTAACAATGTATTGAAGTCAATTCGGCTACATTTATCTAATACTTGGTCATAGATGTGCGAGAGTCTGTGGCCCCCCTCGTCCCTGTTTAGTACTGTCCGCTTAGACGTATCCAGATGGTTTCCTTAACCAACCACCTGTAATATTTTTTTCCCTGGTTGTGCTTAAGAACTACTCTTCTTACTAATATACATAACCAACCCGAAGAAAATGTTCCGAAACATACCACAAGAAGTAACATAATAACTGTGTAGGGACAGTAACATAATAATTGTCAGTATAAGATTTCCTTGTCTCACCAAAACCGAAAAGTAGACAGGAAGGGGCCTCATGTTTTCTTTTATAATAATCTTTCCCCTTGCATTCAGATCCCCTATCTCACTTCTAAGGGATTGAAAGATTTCAGCAATATTAGTTCATCCTGTGGTGAAATGGTTGTGTCCTTGCGTAACGCACAAACTGGTCTGGAAAGCATGTGGTGGGCCTTTCCTATGTTGTTTGGTGAAGAAGCCACCATGTCTACCACCTACTAAGAGGAGACCTCCATATGACAGACAAAAGATATGAATGAATGAATAATTGTTTCCCTAAGTACATGTTGGTGTGTTGTATCACATGTACATCTGCCAATGTAATCAAACATGTATATTACTTTGATAAAGACCAGTAGTATTTTCACACCTAGAACCTACCTGTACATTCTGCCTAATTGAAGGAAAGTAAACACACAGCGGATGATCATGGGCCACTTGCTCCTGTTATGACGTGTATGATTGCTGTAGTCTATGTAGCTCCACACTATGGACACGGTACCTGAAACAAGGGCTGGAACTAGGATAAACCCTAGTGTCAAATTCCTTAGTACATATTGGTTAGTGACATGATACCTCACTACCAGGGCGACGTCCGTGCCGAGGTCTACAAAGAACATCAACACGGATATGATGGAGAAGGCGAGGTCCAGCCTGGTATAGCCAGGTGGCCAGGTTTTCACCCTCTTTACCTGACCAGAGGTTTTCCCGTTCTGTCGACTCAGGTCAGCGAGATCAGGTCGGTCCGGAGGTAGAAGCCTAGCATCACTGACGTCAGGGGGGTCGTCCCCGTCGTTTTCCATGCTTAACACTGTCGAATTATTGCCTATAGCTTCACTGTGGTCAGTACTGACAACATCATTGTCCGACGTCTTGAGGGATTTCACTGAACCGCCTACTTTTTCCACGCTCTCGCACCGAATTATTTGTTCCACTTCACAGCTCGAAAATTTATACGATATCCTCTGCAACCCACCGTCCGCCACATCTCTACCTCTGTTTCTATGACGTGATTTGGACATATCGATTGGATTTCTGTTCAAATATTAATGATATAACCTCGAGCACAGTACCTTTATGTCCTAACGGAAATAGAAAGTGACACATTTCATTCCGCGCGAGAATATATTTATAGAACACGGTAGGGAATTCCCCCAATCCGCTAAACTCCTCTGGTAACGGAGTCGTTACGGACATGTGTCGTTCACTTTAACCTACAGTCATGCAACGTTCAAGTTATAATATCCGTTTTGTTTCATTGATATCTAAGAATTTTAAAATAAAGTGGTGAGTATACAGGTACTTAAGAGAGGAGAGTTCAATTCAATAAAGGAACCAGATTGGGCAGACGCAATTTTTTAAAAACATATTTCAGATAGTATATATTTAGTTTTATGCAACTTACAAGAAAATGATGTACATTACGTTTGTTAAAAATCATCTTGCATATCGTTGGCATTGGTCAGCAATATCTGACGTGCACAAGGTAAATTAAGTTTAGCGTTAAAATGTTGTCATCTCGATATGTGGCAGTGTTTTCTAATGTCTAAACCCTGGCCGAACCACATACATCACATTTTAAAATCAAATTATTGTGAAATTTGAACAATACTTGTTTGTTATACTATTAACTTAATGTTCAATTCTCACTTGAAGAGATATCATTGTGTCGGTATGACACAGTCAGGCGTCTATCTAGACCCCATCACGGTATAGTGTGGTGTCGGTATGACACAGTCAGGCGTCTATCTAGACTCCATGTTTAGTGTAGTGTCGGTATGACACGGCCAGGTTTAGTGTGGTGTCGTCTAGTCTATGACACGGTCAGGCGTCTATCTAGACCCTGTGTTTAGTGTAGTGTCGGTATGACACGGTCAGGCGTCTATCTAGACCCCATGTTTAGTGTGGTGTCGGTATGACACGGTCAAGCGTCTATCTAGACTCCATGTTTAGTGTAGTGTCGGTATGACACGGTCAGGCGTCTATCTAGACTCCATGTTTAGTGTGGTGTCGGTATGACACGGTCAAGCGTCTATCTAGACTCCATGTTTAGTGTAGTGTCGGTATGACACGGTCAGGCGTCTATCTAGACTCCATGTTTAGTCTGGTGTCGGTATGACACGGTCAAGCGTCTATCTAGACTCCATGTTTAGTCTGGTGTCGGTATGACACGGTCAAGCGTCTATCTAGACTCCATGTTTAGTCTGGTGTCGGTATGACACGGTCAAGCGTCTATCTAGACTCCATGTTTAGTCTGGTGTCGGTATGACACGGTCAAGCGTCTATCTAGACTCCATGTTTAGTGTGGTGTCGGTATGACACGGTCAAGCGTCTATCTAGACTCCATGTTTAGTGTGGTGTCGGTATGACACGGTCAAGCGTCTATCTAGACTCCATGTTTAGTCTGGTGTCGGTACGACACGGTCAAGCGTCTATCTAGACTCCATGTTTAGTGTGGTGTCGGTATGACACGGTCAAGCGTCTATCTAGACTCCATGTTTAGTATGGTGTCGATATGACACGGTCAGGCGTCTATCTAGACTCCATGTTTAGTCTGGTGTCGGTATGACACGGTCAGGCGTCTATCTAGACCCTGTGTTTAGTGTAGTGTCGGTATGACACGGTCAGGCGTCTATCTAGACCCTGTGTTTAGTATGACCGGTCTATCTAGACCTCCCGATTTTTCTCCCGGGCACGGTGTGACCAGGTATGTTGTCTATCCGAACCCCCGTGTAGTCTTGTGTCGTTATGATTGTTTTAGCTTGGCATACTATTAAGTCTGATGTTGTTAAGATATTGACGTTATAAAGGAGATGAATCAAAAAATCCTAACATCACCTAAAGGAGTGTTTTCCTAGCTATAACAAAACCGGAAAAAGTACTTGTGCAACCTAAATAGGATATATCTGGTGATGAAACTAAAATTGAAAATTACCAAAATTCCTTCATTTTCCACAAACAAAAATTGCTTGGATCCTGTTGGACGAGACTGCTCCCAGTCAGCTCCAGTCTAGGTGAGCGTCACCTCAATGATTGCCTCTAGTTAGTCACCATACTGTAGTACACATAAAGTTGCTGGCCCTTGTTTCACAAAACTTCCTTAACTTAAGGAAATCTTAACTACCATAGAAAAACATTACTTAAGTTAAAGAAAACTCAAATCTAAGGAAATTTCCGGAACTCATGTAATCCTTTTCCTCTGGGCAATTTTAAGTTAAGGAAATTTCGTCAAAATTGCACCTTCATTTTAAACTTATAGATAAAGAGAATAAGAAGGAAGCCCCAATGCAGTAAAGCGTGGAAAGGAATGACAAAATGGTGGAGTGTGACGAGAAAGAAACTTGAAAGTGTATCGACATCATGTGGAATAGTAGATTTAAGTGTGGGAATGAAGCGACAAGATGTAGAATTGTGCGGTAAAGCGTGGCAATGAGGCGACAACATATAGAGTAGTGCGGTGAAGCGTGGGAATGAAGCGACAAGATGTAGAATATTGCGGTAAAGCGTGGGAATGAAGCGACAACATATAGAATATTGCGGTAAAGCGTTGGAATGAAGCGACAAGATATAGAATATTGCGGTAAAGCGAGGGAATGGCGCGACAACATATAAAATATTGCGGTAAAGCGTGGGAATGAAGCGACAAGATGTAGAATATTGCGGTAAAGCGTGGGAATGAAGCGACAAGATGTAGAATATTGCGGTAAAGCGTGGGAATGAAGCGACAACATATAGAATATTGCGGTAAAGCGTGGGAATGAAGCGACAAGATGTAGAATATTGCGGTAAAGCGTGGGAATGAAGCGACAAGATGTAGAATATTGCGGTAAAGCGAGGGAATGGCGCGACAACATATAAAATATTGCGGTAAAGCGTGGGAATGAAGCGACAAGATGTAGAATATTGCGGTAAAGCGTGGGAATGAAGCGACAACATATAGAATATTGCGGAAAAGTCTTGGAATGATGCGACAATATGTAGAATAGCGCGGGAACGTGTGGGAATGAAGCGACAACATATAGAATATTGCGGTAAAGCGTAGGAATGAGGCGACAACATATAGAATATTGCGGTAAAGCGTGGGAATGAAGCGACATCATATAGAATAATGCGGTAAATCGTGGGAATGAAGCGACAATATGTAGAACATTGCGGTAAAGCCAGGGAATGAAGCGACAACATGTAGAATATTGCGGTAAAGCGTGGGAATGAAGCGACAACATATAGAATATTGCGGTAAAGCGTGGGAATGAGGTGACAATATATAGAATATTGCGGTAAAGCGTGGGAATGAAGCGACAACATATAGAATATTGCGGTAAAGCGTGGGAATGAGGCGACAACATATAGAATATTGCGGTAAAGCGTGGGAATGAAACGACAAGATGTAGAATATTGCGGTAAAGCGTGGGAATGAAACGACAAGATGTAGAATATTGCGTTAAAGCGTGGGAATGAAGCGACAAGATGTAAAATATTGCGATAAAGCCAGGGAATGAAGCGACAATGTGTAGAATATTGCGGTAAAGCGTGGGAATGAAGCGACAACATATAGAATATTGCGGTAAATCGTGGGAATGAAGCGACAACATGTAGAATATTGCGGTAAAGCGTGGGAATGAAGCGACAAGATGTAAAATATTGCGATAAAGCCAGGGAATGAAGCGACAATGTGTAGAATATTGCGGTAAAGCGTGGGAATGAAGCGACAACATATAGAATATTGCGGTAAAGCGTGGGAATGAAGCGACAAGATGTAGAATATTGCGGTAAAGCGTGGGAATGAAGCGACAACATATAGAATATTGCGGTAAATCGTGGGAATGAAGCGACAACATATAGAATATTGCGGTAAAGCGTGGGAATGAGGTGACAATATATAGAATATTGCGGTAAAGCGTGGGAATGAAGCGACAACATATAGAATATTGCGGTAAAGCGTGGCAATGAGGCGACAACATATAGAATATTGCGGTAAAGCGTGGGAATGAAGCGACAAGATGTAGAATATTGCGGTAAAGCATGGGAATGAAGCGACAATGTGTAGAATATTGCGGTAAAGCGTGGGAATGAAGCGACAACATATAGAATATTGCGGAAAAGTCTTGGAATGATGCGACAACATATAGAATATTGCGGTAAAGCGTGGGAATGAAGCGACAATATATAGAATATTGCGGTAAAGCGTGGGAATGAAGCGACAACATATAGAATATTGCGGAAAAGTCTTGGAATGATGCGACAACATATAGAATATTGCGGTAAAGCGTGTGAATGAAGCGACAAGATGTAGAATATTGCGGTAAAGCGTGGGAATGAAGCGACAACATATAGAATATTGCGGTAAAGCGTGGGAATGAAGCGACAACATATAGAATATTGCGGTAAAGCGTGGGAATGAGGTGACAATATATAGAATATTGCGGTAAAGCGTTGGAATGAAGCGACAACATATAGAATATTGCGGTAAAGCGTGGGAATGAGGCGACAACATATAGAATATTGCGGTAAAGCGAGGGAATGGCGCGACAAGATGTAGAATATTGCGGTAAAGCGTGGGAATGAAGCGACAAGACGTAGAATATTGCGGTAAAGCGTGGGAATGAGGCGACAAGATGTAAAATATTGCGATAAAGCCAGGGAATGAAGCGACAAGATGTAGAATATTGCGGTAAAGCGTGGGAATGAAGCGACAACATATAGAATATTGCGGAAAAGTCTTGGAATGATGCGACAACATATAGAATATTGCGGTAAAGCGTGGGAATGAAGCGACAACATATAGAATATTGCGGTAAAGCGTGGGAATGAAGCGACAACATATAGAATATTGCGGTAAATCGTGGGAATGAAGCGACAACATGTAGAATATTGCGGTAAAGCGTGGGAATGAGGCGACAAGATGTAAAATATTGCGATAAAGCCAGGGAATGAAGCGACATCATATAGAATAATGCGGTAAATCGTGGGAATGAAGCGACAAGATGTAGAATATTGCGGTAAAGCGTGGGAATGAAGCGATAACATATAGAATATTGCGGTAAAGCGTGGGAATGAAGCGACAACATGTAGAATATTGCGGTAAAGTGTGGGAATGAAGCGACAACATATAGAATATTGCGGTAAAGCGTGGGAATTAGGTGACAATATATAGAATATTGCGGTAAAGCGTAGGAATGAGGCGACAACATATAGAATATTGCGGTAAAGCGTGGGAATGAAGCGACAACATATAGAATAATGCGGTAAATCGTGGGAATGAAGCGACAATATGTAGAATATTGCGGTAAAGCCAGGGAATGAAGCGACAACATGTAGTATAGTGCGGGAACGTGTTGGAATGAAGCGACAACATATAGAATATTGCGGTAAAGCGTGGGAATGAAGCGACAACATATAGAATATTGCGGTAAAGCGTGGGAATGAAGCGACAACATATAGAATATTGCGGTAAAGCGTGGGAATGAAACGACAAGATGTAGAATATTGCGGTAAAACGTGGGAATGAAACGACAAGATGTAGAATATTGCGGTAAAGCGTGGGAATGAAACGACAAGATGTAGAATATTGCGGTAAAGCGTGGGAATTAAGCGACAAGTCTGGAAAGTGAGGTGTTTATGAAGTTTGGGAGTAAAGCTGTGTGATAGCTGAGAAAGTCGTAAAAATGAAGTGACAAAGCTAGTAGAATGTCGTAAGACAAAATATGGGAATGAAGCGACAAAATTAGGTTGAAAGAGGAAACATGAACACGTGGTCAAAAAAACAAAACGATAGACAAATGGGTAAAGTTAGAATGCGGAAACGTAAGATCATGTGCCGAAAGTATTCCAATGTACATGTATTGATATGTATAGTATATGAGCAAAAACATAGAACTATAGTTATATTATGTAATTAATCTCAGACTACAAGAAAGAGGCGTTTTAAATATTGACGCCTATTTTCGGTTTATGAAATGCATTTAGGTGTTACAAAGGGAATAGAATTAGTACAAGTTACATGTTCGATTAATTAAACAAAGTACAGACCACAATAAAATATATATTTCATTATTGATGGGTTGATCGACTGTCTGTTATTTTCTAAATCATAAAGATTTCTTGATGATATTATTGTTACCTTGATTACATGGGGAACAAAATGCAGTTCTCTCTCTCTCTCTCGCTCCCCCCCCCCCCCCCTCTCTCTCTCTCTCTCTCTCTCTCTCTCTCTCTCTCTCTCTCTCTCTCTCTCTCTCTCTCTCTCTCTCTCTCTCTCTCTCTCTCTCTCTCTCTCTCTCTCTCTCTCTCTCTCTCTCTCTCTCTCTCTCTCTCACCATAAACAATATATTCATACTAAGGGGCCTTGATGATACATAATAACGGCAGGATGCGATTTTTAGCAATTTATTAAAAGTTCAATAAAATAAATTAAAGACGGAAGCTGTTGGAATCACACATCTCTTATGGTTAAACGTTTTGTACAGACAATAACGGAAATTCATTCATAAATGCCAGGAAAAGAAGAACCGGTAACATGCGTTCAACAAGGACACTAACTTTGTATAAAACCTCATTATACCGTAAGATAGAACGGACGCATTCAGTAAAGCGTTTAAGGGCGTAGATAAGAAGAGCACTTTTTGGGGGAGCTTTGTTCATGCGACAACCCAGTCTAGCCAGGAAAATCACATTTGGCTTTTTTTTTTTTTTTTAGCTTAACGTCCTTGTTCCAGTTATAACCGAGCCTAGGACACTTCACATTTGGCTTCTCTTTTGTTTTCTTTATATACAACAGGACAAATTTTAATCGCGGTGTTTCAAATCTATTCATTTCAAAATACACTAATTTAAAATTATCAATGAAATCCGATAGTGAAGTAATGTCGGGCATTGCATTTCATAAATTGTGGTATTAAATTTCGCTCTTCACATCCATTTAACAACTTTCTATTAATTTTATTTACATGGTATCATTACGTATCACAGGATAGGTAACGTATATTGAACGTATGTGAACCCAATAGCTTCAAAATCACACCATATTGAAGCGTTTTAGCGAAAATATTGCTTCGTATCTGGTAATTTTAAACATAGATACCTCTTGACAGGCTGGTTTTATTCATTGCGTTGAATTTTAAGTGAAACAGCGCCATTTATGCAAATGCTCAACCGCCACATAGACGACGCCATGACACCAATATAAGAAAAACACTAAAGGGAGGATGGTGGGGGAGTGTTTGCTTTGAAAAGAGGGCATTTAAACGTCACTATGTCCAAACTTGACAACATATTTAAATGAGTTATTTAAATATGCAAACTGGATTTTCACGATATTTCCAATTTAGGCTTGATCAAGAATTACTCCGATTATTTAAGGAATCAAAATGGACTAGATATGATAAGTTTTTAAATGATCTGGTGATTGGAACATCGAGAAATTCACGTATGACCTTTTCACTTTTTATTAAAGGCTTGATCATCGCAACGTAGTTAAATGTTACACGGAATTTATTTATTTTTTCATTCAATTATATGTGACTGTCCAGAAATCATTGCGTGATTCCAAGATGAGCTTTTGTAACGATTATACATATTTCATGAAGAATTTGAAACACGCACTGAAGGTGTCATCTTAAACTGTAATACAGGTTATCTGTCTTATAACATTTAACGTACCTCTAAACAGAGACGTACATATGTGATATATACGTCTCTGCTCTAAAGAAAAACACTAGCGAATAAATAGCCTGTTTCCTCAATAAAAGAAGAAAGATCAGACTTGTGTAGTGTATATTATTTGGGGGTTTTTCTAGTGTTAGAGTAGGGTTGCAGAATTTGATAATATGGAGATATTTGATATTTTGCGATTTTAGCATAATTATTCATTAATGTGTATCTGAAACTCATCCTTAATATATTGACCACACAAATGTCGTATTTGCTTTTCTTGGCACATGTTTTCTATTCCACACAAATACAAACACAAAATATTTCAATATTTGGAGAAATCTATACATGTAATAAAGCTTCTAAATTTTTACTTAATCATGCGTAACATAATGGTAGCACAGTGGTAAGCTCTGCTACTGATGACCGGCTTGTTCACCTACTTCTAGCCCCTGGACTTGGAAGACCATAGAGTGCTCTTTGTCTGGTCTCCACCCTTTGACCTGACTTGGATGGCCCTAACATGAGACGAATCTCCCACCAGCATAGCTCTCAATGTCGTACAGACCCCCCCCCCCCCCCAACACCCACACAACACACCAACCAACGGCAAGGTTACACTCTTTAGAGAGATAATTGCCAAATGTTACATTTAATTAAAATGGCATTACAGATGTAATTCATAATCAACCATCTTTGTATCTTTTTCAGTTGATTTTATTGTATTTATGTTGTAAAAACTATTCTCAAAAACGAATTAATATTTGTTAAAATGTTGTAGCATGAACGGGTTAAACGTGTTCGTTGTCACAAGCGTTAGTATTAGTAGACTGCAACCATTAGTTACGTCCCTTGGTCTATTTCGGAACTTTTCGGACTTTTTCATAATGCACAAATTCGGCGCCATTTGAACATGTGAGAGGGGCAGTTTGAAAGAGATTTTCTATTCTTTTTTAAGGAAAAAACAAGGAAACAAGAACATTACTTGAACTGGTGGATATACTTTGTAAATTTGGTAATACATTTATGATAGAGCAGTGTTTTTCTGTAACGTAGCCTATCTCTTATGTTAGATAAATATTGGCAGTAGAACCGTTTGCACCTTAACGCATCCTGAGCTTTCAAACCAACGAGTAAAAAAAAAAAATCCTTAAATAAGATGTAGTCGCGCGCAGTTTTATAATTAAACCCCATTGAAAAATACTACACGCAACGACACTTCCACTGCCTGAGAAATTTAAGATAGAAGCTACAAATATTGTAAACATAAACATTCAAATATGCGTTGTCTGGCTGTTTGTAAATCATACCGACAGTTTCTGTTGTCGTTGATGACAATAAAGGCTTGATCATCAATGAAAATAGTGGTAAGGAGGCCTACATTTAAAAAAAAGGATGTGGGGAAGACGAACTAGAGCGGTGTTAGAGGTGATATCCAATATATATATATATATAAACATTTCTACAGTATGTTGTCATTACAATTTTGAAAATTAGAACAAAATTGACCTTCATGCATGACAAGGAAAAAGATCTGTGATTTAGATCTGAATTGTATGTTCATGTCTTGGATGCCAGTGTCCAAATTAGGGTTGAAATGTATGTATCAGTCACTGAGATGTTGAAGCACGTTTAGCATTTCAGGTATAAGCATATATATATATCACATGCATGTCACTGTGGTAATATGCAACACAGGGCTGAGAAACAAAGTTTTCTATTCTTGAAAAAAGTGAGAATTTATCTGCATCTGGTTTACAAAGTCAATCAATTCTCAGTGAAAGTGTAGAGCTGTTCAAACAAGAAGTATCCAAACAGCCCCACCATCTGACCCTCTCCCTACCTACCATTACATTATTACTGTGAATTCTGTTTATGTGTGGCAATGAGAGAGACTTCCTTGCCATGTACCATTTAAAAGAAATGTCCAAAAGTGTTGTTTTTAACTCAACTAACAAATATGTATTTGCAATTTTCTTTAACTGCTAGGTTGTCTAACCTAAAGTGTTGTTATTTTTTATGCCTTTGAGCTGAAATTTTGCAGGAATGTTCAGGGCTTTATTTTCTCTTTACTTACTAATCTATTCCTAACAGTTTTGATCATTTGTAACTGTCCCTACTTGAAATACTGCTGGTATGTCATAAGGCTTTTATGGTCAGATGATCATTAAGCCTATGGGTCTCTTGTTGGAACATTTATGGCAATATTACAATGCTTATATGTGTTGAAGTTATGTTATCACCATGAAAACAATGGAATCTCTAGCTCTCTGAGTCATATTACATGTGTATCATAACAAACAATGTATAAGTGGTGTTATTAAACTGATAATGGGGGTAATTACATGATATCAGATAATTTGACATGGACCCCAAATGACAGTTTTTGAGTTATATAAACTGTGTCAAACAGGTGGCATAACCTATGGATTAAAGGGAATGTAAAATCAGCGCTCAAGTAGACTTGATGTACAGGAATAGTACAGGAGGGGACCAAAGGGGGACCTGGCCATTCAATACTAAAATTGCCATCCCACATTTTTTGTCTTTTTCAGTTTGTTTGATTTTCATTTGATTTCTTATTTTTGTCTTTAAAAATTGCTGAAAATGACCCATAAGTCTCATCTCTCCGTAATTGGGTCTGAAGGGAGTCTATCCCAAAAGTTTCAGAATTAACTATATTCACAAAATATCAGAAGATTACATCTGACATCAGCTGGTTAAAAAAATGTTTTGATAAGCTATTAATATTATTTTTACTTCTTCAGAGATAACATGGAGCTGAATGAGTCGACGCTGCAGTCTCTGGCTGGCTATTTACAGCAGACCCTGTCACCAGATCAAACAGTGCGGAGACAAGGTAGAGAAGTGTATATTTAATCTATTTAAATGGTTTTACACCCACTAGTACAACCTGTAAGGAAATGACAGAGAACTTCAGAAGTGTACTTAGACATCAAATAAATGTATAGAAGACAATATGATTGATCAATGATTACAATTTCCTGTAGCCTTTAGATATAAAAATCCTTGCCTCTGTTTTACAGTCCAGATTAACAGGAGTTTATTGATTTGAAATGAAAAAAACAATAAAAACACTTTTCATCAAGTAACTCAGAAAAATTAAATTTTGACAGGTTTTAGAGTGAAAATGTGAGACAAAAGCTAATAGAGCCAAATATATGTTGAGCTATTTTCAGTTTATGAGGTAATGTTGTTGTCTATATTACAACATCCAAAATAACTTCTGACACAACCAGTGAAAAAGGCTCCAGGGCATACTACATTGTGATAAAATTAGAACATGGATAGGTTGTGGCCATAGACTAAATTTTACAATGGAGAAATTCCGGTAGTGTGTATATGTATACAGTCTATTTTTCAAATTGGAGATATTCCTGTAGTAGATAGTACAGGCATCTATTTTACAGCGGAGAAATTCCTGTAGTAGATATAGATACAGCAATTCCACCTCTATTTTACAGCGGAGAAATTCCTGTAGTAGATATAGATACAGCAATTCCACCTCTATTTTACTGCAGAGAAATTCCTGTAGTAGCTATAGATACAGCAATTCCACCTCTATTTTTCAATGGAGAAATTCTTGTAGTATATATAGATACAGCAATTCCACTTCTATTTTACAGCGGTGAAATTCCTGTAGTAGATATAGATACAGCAATTCCACCTCTATTTTACTGCAGAGAAATTCCTGTAGTAGCTATAGATACAGCAATTCCACCTCTATTTTTCAACGGAGAAATTCTTGTAGTATATATAGATACAGCAATTCCACTTCTATTTTACAGCGGTGAAATTCCTGTAGTAGATATAGATACAGCAATTCCACCTCTATTTTCCACCTCTATTTTTCAACGGAGAAATTCTTGTAGTATATATAGATACAGCAATTCCACTTCTATTTTACAGCGGTGAAATTCCTGTAGTAGATATAGATACAGCAATTTCACCTCTATTTTACAGCGGAGAAATTCCTGTAGTAGATATAGATACAGCAATTCCACCTCTATTTTACAGCGGAGAAATTCCTGGAATCTGTGGAGATTCAGCAGCACTACCCACTGTTACTGCTACACTTGTTGGACAAAGACAATGTTGAGTCTCATATTAGGGTCAGCTCAGCTGTGACCTTCAAAAATTATACTCGCAGAAACTGGCGTGTGGTGAGTAGGGACAGGTAGTTCTGTTAAATGGAATTTATATATTTTTATGTACGGATAGATTGTACATCTGTTGTTTTCTTGTTTCTGAGTTTGTGAAAAGTTATTCAGTTACATGGAAGCTTCAATTCCCTGGGGTATGTTTCTCAAATATCATATTTCTCGGATTCTGCTAGAAACCCTTCTTTTGTTAAAAGTTGAAGATATGAGTTTATAAAACAGAAATTGTGCAAACTGTAAGTAGTGAATGGTATGACACAGTTAATAATGATAGGTTTTTCTTTTGCAGGATGATGGCACAGATAAAATACATGCTCAAGATAGAACAACTATTAAGCAACAGATTGTTGGTCTGATGCTGAAAAGTCCAGAACAAATACAGAAACAGGTATTAAACATGGAAGTAGTTTGAGCATGTGTCTGGAGAACAGGTGGGTGATAGTCACAGGTCAGGTGGGTGATAGTCACAGGTCAGAGGGATGATAGTCACATGTCAGGTGAGTCATAGTCACAGGTCAGGTGGGTGTTAGTCACAGGTCAGGTGGGTGTTAGTCAGAGGTCAGGGGGATGATATTCACAGGTCAGGAGGGTGATAGTCACAGGTCAGGGGGTGATAGTCACATAACAGGTGGGTGATAGTCACATGTCAGGTGGGTGTTAGTCACAGGTCAGGTGGGTGATAGTCACAGGTCAGGTGGGTGTTAGTCAGAGGTCAGGGGGATGATAGTCACAGGTCAGGTGGATGTTCGTCACATGTCAGGTGGGTGTTAGTCACAGGTTAGGGGGTGATAGTCACATAACAGGTGGGTGATAGTCACAGGTCAGGTGGGTGTTAGTCACAGGTCAGGTGGGTGATAGTCACATAACAGATGGGTGATAGTCACATAACAGGTGGATGTTGGTCACAGGTCATGTGGGTGATTGTCACAGGTCAGGTGGGTGTTAGTCACAGGTCAGGTGGGTGTTAGTCACAGGTCAGGTATGTGTTAGTCACAGGTCAGGTGGGTGATAGTCACATAACAGGTGGGTGATAGTCACAGGTCAGGTGGGTGATAGTCACAGGTCAGGTGGGTGATAGTCACAGGTCAGGGGGATGATAGTCACAGGTCAGGTGGGTGATAGTCACAGGTCAGGTGGGTGTTAGTCACATAACAGGTGGGTGATAGTCACAGGTCAGGTGGGTGTTAGTCACAGGTCAGGTGGATGATAGTCACAGGTCAGGTGGGTGTTAGTCACAGGTCAGGTGAGTGATAGTCACAGGTCAGGTGGGTGATAGTCACAGGTCAGGTGGGTGATAGTCACAGGTCAGGTGGGTGATAGTCACAGAACAAGTGGTTGATATTTATGTTTCTGTTTAACAGTTAAGTGATGCGATTAGCATTATTGGTCGAGAGGACTTCCCAGCTAAATGGCCGGACCTAATTACTGAAATGGTGACCAAGTTTCAAACGGGCGACTTCCATGTCATCAATGGAATTCTGCGAACTGCACATTCTCTCTTTAAAAGGTAGAGTCTTAGATGTTCCTTTTTAACCTCAGATCATTAGCTGTTGCTATGAAATACCTAGGTATTCTATAAAAAAATCTTTGTCTTTAAACATGAAATTTCGATTTGCATACTGTTCAGTGTGGTAGCCATTAGCTACATTACGAAGACCTCACTTCAAAACAACTCTGGTCAATGATTGAACAAGATTCCTTCAAAATAGATTCATTCATGAAAGTATCCTTTTTGTACTTGTTACAGTTTTTTGTGTATCACTACTACTTCTTACTAACTATATCACAAGCAGATATGAGAAAAATGAAGTGATGCTGAATTTGTTTTCCCTAATTTACAGTGCTATAACAATCAGAGGAACTGTTAACATTGGTTATGTTTTTTTCTTTAGCATGGTTCCACGATCTAATTTGATATTGTTACAATGGCTTTGACCACTTTGTTATGCTATGTTTAGCTGTGTTACGACTACACACATCATAAGGGCTAACCAGGGTTAGCAGCTGACCCTCAAGTTAGTAACATCAACATGTATGTGTTATGTCTTAAATTGCACTCTAGTTTTTAACCTATAGGTATGATCAGGAGTTCGTAACATAGACACATGTTATTTTCTCTGCCTGTCTCTCTGTTAACAATTTTTTTTATCAGTATTTTTCTAAATGTACCAAATGGAAATTTCTGAAATTTCATATGTAAGTTCCCCTTGGTCCCTTGTGCCATTTTTATTTAAGGGTTGATAAGGAAAACAAAATAGCTGATAGGTGGCCATCTTGGATTTTGAAAAACAAAATGTTGTTATTGTTATTTCTTGAGAAGTGTTTGTCTCTCTCCAGTCAGTAGTATTGACACATGTGTTTTATCCTATGTTGTACTCTTGTTTTTTGACCTGTAGGTATCGTCATGAGTTCAAATCACAACAACTCTGGACAGAAATCAAGTTTGTGTTGGAAAATTTTGCTCAGCCTTTCACCGAACTTTTCAATGTAAGTATGATTGAAGTGTGGACATAGAGCACAAGATAATTAATATCATTCCCAGTTCTGCTTAATAGCAGAAATTTTTTGGAGAGGTCAGAAAGTTATTATTGTTAAGTGATTAGACATTTTGTTGGATATGCTCTGAAGTTGGTGTATGTAGTTTTGGTATTTTGTTCAATTTTCTCATTGCAGGCCACAATGGAATTGGCGAAGACTCACGCCAACGACCCTAATGCTCTCAAAGTCATCTTCAGCTCCATAGTGTTAATTTGTAAAATATTCTACAGTCTCAACTTCCAGGTAAGGGACAGCTCCATAGTGTTAATTTGTAAAATATTCTACAGTCTCAACTTCCAGGTAAGGGACAGCTCCATAGTGTTAATTTGTAAAATATTCTACAGTCTCAACTTCCAGGTAAGGGACAGCTCTGTAGTGTTATTGTGTGTAATATTCTGTAGTCTTTGAAGAAATCACTGTTGTATAGTGTAGGCTTTAAAAGATAATTGGGGTCTAGAGGCAGGAATAGCTACTGTTGAATGGTGTTAGCCTTAAGATATATTTCAGGTCTAGAGGCAGGAATAAAGCTGTTTTACCTTTTAATTTGTAATTACAGGACTTACCAGAACACTTCGAGGACAATATGGCTATTTGGATGACCCACTTCTTGACCTTGTTGAGTGCAGACAACAAACTTCTACAAACAGAGGTAATTCTAAATATCTGCATTGACTTGAACGTTGGCCAGGCAGTACTAATGTACAGGTAGACAGGAACATTGGTCAGACAGTTCTATTGTACAGGTAGACAGGAACATTGGTCAGATAGTTCTATTGTACAGATAGACAGGAACATTGGTCAGATAGTTCTATTGTACAGGTAGACACGAACTGTACAGGTAGACAGGAACATTGGTCAGACAATTCTATTGTACAGGTAGACAGGAACATTGGTCAGACAGTACTATTGTGCAGGTAGATAGGAACATTGGCCAGATAGTTCTATTGTACAGGTAGACAGGAACATTGGTCAGACAGTTCTATTGTACAGGTAGATACGAACATTGGCTAGACAGTTCTGTTGTACAGGTAGACAGAAACATTGGTCAGACAGTTACCTTGTACATGTAGACAGGAACATCGGTCAGACCGTTCTATTGTACAGGTAGATACGAACATTGGCTAGACAGTTCTGTTGTACAGGTAGACAGGAACATTGGTCAGACAGTTACATTGTACAGGTAGATACGAACATTGGCCAGATAGTTCTATTGTACAGGTAGACAGGAACATTGGCCAGACAGTTCTATTGTACAGGTAGACAGGAACATTGGTCAGACAGTTCTATTGTACAGGTAGATACGAACATTGGCTAGACAGTTCTGTTGTACAGGTAGATAGGAACATTGGTCAGACAGTTACATTGTACAGGTAGATACGAACATTGGCTAGACAGTTCTGTTGTACAGGTAGACAGGAACATTGGTCAGACAGTTACATTGTACAGGTAGATACGAACATTGGCTAGACAGTTCTGTTGTACAGGTAGACAGGAACATTGGCCAGACAGTTACATTGTACAGGTAGACAGGAACATTGGTCAGACAGTTACATTGTACAGGTAGATAGGAACATTGGTCAGACAGTTCTATTGTACAGGTAGACAGGAACATTGGTCAGACAGTTACATTGTACAGGTAGACAGGAACATTGGTCAGACAGTTACATTGTACAGGTAGACAGGAACATTGGTCAGACAGTTACATTGTACAGGTAGACAGGAACATTGGTCAGACAGTTACATTGTACAGGTAGACAGGAACATTGGTCAGACAGTTACATTGTACAGGTAGACAGGAACGTTGGCCAAACAGTTCTATTGTACAGGTAGACAGGAACATTGGTCAGACAGTTACATTGTACAGGTAGACAGGAACATTGGTCAGACAGTTACATTGTACAGGTAGACAGGAACGTTGGCCAAACAGTTCTATTGTACAGGTAGACAGGAACATTGGTCAGACAGTTCTGTTGTACAGGTAGATACGAACATTGGTCAGACAGTTCTATTGTACAGGTAGACACGAACTGTAGAACATTGACCAGACAGTTACATTGTACAGGTAGACATGAACTGTACATGTAGACAGTAACATTGGTCAGACAGTTCTGTTGTACAAGTAGACAGGAACATTGGTCAGACAGTTCTATTGTACAGGTAGACAGGAACATTGGTCAGACAGTTACATTGTACAGGTAGACAGGAACATTGGCCAGATAGTTCTATTGTACAGGTAGATACGAACATTGGTCAGACAGTTCTATTGTACAGGTAGACAGGAACATTGGCCAGACAGTTACATTGTACAGGTAGACACGAACTGTACAGGTAGACAGGAACATTGGTCAGACAATTCTATTGTACAGGTAGACAGGAACATTGGTCAGACAGTTCTATTGTACAGGTAGATACGAACATTGGCTAGACAGTTCTGTTGTACAGGTAGACAGAAACATTGGTCAGACAGTTACCTTGTACATGTAGACAGGAACATCGGTCAGACCGTTCTATTGTACAGGTAGACAGGAATGTTGGCCAAACAGTTCTATTGTACAGGTAGACAGGAACATTGGTCAGACAGTTCTATTGTACAGGTAGATACGAACATTGGCTAGACAGTTCTGTTGTACAGGTAGATAGGAACATTGGTCAGACAGTTACATTGTACAGGTAGATACGAACATTGGCTAGACAGTTCTGTTGTACAGGTAGACAGGAACATTGGCCAGACAGTTACATTGTACAGGTAGACAGGAACTGTACATGTAGACAGTAACATTGGTCAGACAGTTCTGTTGTACAAGTAGACAGGAACTTTGGCCAGACAGTTCTATTGTACAGGTAGACAGGAACATTGGTCAGACAGTTACCTTGTACAGGTAGACAGGAACATTGGTCAGACAGTTACATTGTACAGGTAGACAGGAACATTGGTCAGACAGTTACATTGTACAGGTAGACAGGAACATTGGTCAGACAGTTACATTGTACAGGTAGACAGGAACATTGATCAGACAGTTACATTGTACAGGTAGACAGGAACATTGGTCAGACAGTTACATTGTACAGGTAGACAGGAACGTTGGCCAAACAGTTCTATTGTACAGGTAGACAGGAACATTGGTCAGACAGTTCTGTTATACAGGTAGATACAAACATTGGTCAGACAGTTCTATTGTACAGGTAGACACGAACTGTAGAACATTGACCAGACAGTTACATTGTACAGGTAGACATGAACTGTACATGTAGACAGTAACATTGGTCAGACAGTTCTGTTGTACAAGTAGACAGGAACTTTGGCCAGACAGTTCTATTGTACAGGTAGACAGGAACATTGGTCAGACAGTTACCTTGTACAGGTAGACAGGAACATTGGTCAGACAGTTACATTGTACAGGTAGACAGGAACGTTGGCCAAACAGTTCTATTGTACAGGTAGACAGGAACATTGGCCAGACACTTCTGTTGTACAGGTAGACACGAACTGTACAGGTAGACACGAACATTGGCCAGACAGTTCTATTGTACAGGTAGACAGGAACTGTACAGGTAGACACGAACATTGGCCAGACAGTTCTATTGTACAGGTAGACAGGAACATTGGCCAGATAGTTACATTGTACAGGTAGACAGGAACATTGGTCAGACAGTTCTATTGTACAGGTAGACAGGAACATTGGTCAGACAGTTACATTGTACAGGTAGACAGGAACATTGGTCAGACAGTTACATTGTACAGGTAGACAGGAACATTGATCAGACAGTTACATTGTACAGGTAGACAGGAACATTGGTCAGACAGTTACATTGTACAGGTAGACAGGAACGTTGGCCAAACAGTTCTATTGTACAGGTAGACAGGAACATTGGTCAGACAGTTCTGTTGTACAGGTAGATACAAACATTGGTCAGACAGTTCTATTGTACAGGTAGACACGAACTGTAGAACATTGACCAGACAGTTACATTGTACAGGTAGACATGAACTGTACATGTAGACAGTAACATTGGTCAGACAGTTCTGTTGTACAAGTAGACAGGAACTTTGGCCAGACAGTTCTATTGTACAGGTAGACAGGAACATTGGTCAGACAGTTACCTTGTACAGGTAGACAGGAACATTGGTCAGACAGTTACATTGTACAGGTAGACAGGAACGTTGGCCAAACAGTTCTATTGTACAGGTAGACAGGAACATTGGTCAGATAGTTCTATTGTACAGGTAGACACGAACTGTACAGGTAGACACGAACATTGGCCAGACAGTTCTATTGTACAGGTAGACAGGAACTGTACAGGTAGACACGAACATTGGCCAGACAGTTCTATTGTACAGGTAGACAGGAACATTGGCCAGATAGTTCTATTGTACAGGTAGACACGAACTGTACAGGTAGACAGGAACATTGGCCAGACAGTTACATTGTACAGGTAGACAGGAACATTGGTCAGATAGTTCTGTTGTACAGGTAGACAGGAACATTGGTCAGATAGTTCTGTTGTACAGGTAGACAGGAACATTGGTCAGATAGTTCTGTTGTACAGGTAGACAGGAACATTGGTCAGACAGTTCTATTGTACAGGTAGACAGGAATGTTGGCCAGATAGTTCTATTGTACAGGTAGTTAGCAACATTGGTCAGACAGTTCTATTGTACAGGTAGATACGAATATTGGCCAGATAGTTCTATTGTACAGGTAGACAGGAACATTGGTCAGACAGTTCTATTTTACAGGTAGCTACGAACATTGGCTAGACAGTTCTATTGTACAGGTAGATACGAATATTGGCCAGATAGTTCTATTGTACAGGTAGATACGAATATTGGCCAGATAGTTCTATTGTACAGGTAGATACCAATATTGGCCAGACAGTTACATTGTACAGGTAGACACAAACTGTACAGGTAGATACGAACATTGACCAGACAGTTCTATTGTACAGGTAGATACGAACATTGGTCAGGCAGTTATATTGTACAGGTAGATACAAACTGTACAGGTAGATACGAACATTGGTCAGACAGTACTATGGTACAGGTAGATACGAACATTGGTTAGACAGTTACATTGTGCAAGTAGATACAAACATTGGTCAAACAGTTACATTGTACAGGTAGATACAAACATTGGCCAGACACTTACATTGTACAGGCAGACATGAACTGTAGAACATTGACCAGACAGTTACATTGTACAGGTAGACATGAACTGTACAGGTAGACAGTAACATTGGTCAGACAGTTACATTGTACAGGTAGATACAAGCATTGGCCAGACACTTGCATTGTACAGGCAGACACGAACTGTAGAACATTGACCAGACAGTTACATTGTACAGGTAGACAGAAACATTTGCTAGACATTTTAATGTACAGGTAGACAGGAACGTTGGCCTGATAGTTCTATTGTACAGGTAGACATGAGCAATGTCTATTGTTGAGGCTGTATATTGAGTTGTTGCAACTTTTTTTTTGGCAGGATGAGGAAGAGGCAGGTCTTCTAGAACAGGTTAAATCACAGATATGTGATAATGTTGCCCTCTATGCCCAGAAGTATGATGAAGAATTCTCACAACAGCTGCCACAGTTTGTCACAGCCATCTGGAATCTCCTAGTCACTACAGGGCAACAAGTCAAATATGATCTGGTAAAGACAAAACATAGAACTGTTTTATTGTATTGTCACAGAGGTGGTGTACAGTAACTACTTAATGGGAAATTCCACACAAGTTAGGATTTCAAGGATGCTTTTGAAGAAAAATGCCCAAAATTATCTACTTATTTTCTTATGGAAATTGAACACCTCGGTTTACCATTTGAACAAACATATGATGTTTAATTTGTGGAAATTTGTGATAGATCTAGCTAGATCAATTAACAAACATTCAAGCGTCCCTGATTGCATCAAAACAGGTCTACATTATAAGACAAAGTGAATGAAATATTTGTGTAAATTATAATATCAACAGAAAACAAGGCTAATGAAGTAGTAAAATTGTAACCCCAGCAGAAATTTCAGTAAACAAATACACACTTGTGAATTTACGCAATTCTCCTCATAAAGTCTTTTATCCAGTGACCTTTCATTTCTGGATTTCCAGAAGTGCTATATTGAGACAGTTTGGCTTGGGGTATTCCCACCAATTTCATCTGTCCAAACTGGCCACAGGAGAGATATTTTGATGCTGACAATAGTTTTAAAAGTTATTAGAATGATTTCTTAAAAGTTACAGAATAGCCAAAAATTTTGTAACTTGGGCAGGATATCCCCAGAATTTATGTTTGTATCTTTAGTAGAATCTTTTTGGTTTTCTTGAAAGTACCAGAACTACAGTTTTCAATATAATATTGGTCTATAGCTAAGCCAAAGGGTCTATAAAACCGGTAAAAAGTAAGATTTAAGTGTTTATAAATAGGTATAGAAATGTCATCAACATTGAGAACTTGTGCTTAGCACAGATTCTTGTTTAGAATTCTTTCATAAAAAAAATTGTATTTGATCAGAATAAACAAAACTTGGCAAAACTAAACATGTGAAAGGACATAAAACATGGAAATATGTTTTTTAATTAATGTTGTTTTTATTAACAGTTAGTCAGCAATGCCATCCAGTTTTTAGCCTCTGTTGCCGAGCGACCGTCATACAAAAGTCTGTTTGAGGATCCATCGACCTTGTCAAGCATCTGTGAGAAAGTGATTGTTCCTAACATGCAATTTAGGGGTAAGTTTACACATTATTTGAACAAAACAAAATCAAAATATGAAAGAATATTGCAGTGAATGTTGGTATCCCTTTAAAAGAGAGTATTAGCAATATTGAGTGTTCTTTATTGAACAAACTAATGTGATTTTAATAATTTGTTTGTTGGAATTTCTTAGATGCTGACGAGGAATTGTTTGAAGATAACCCTGATGAATATATAAGGAGAGACATCGAAGGTTCTGGTGAGTAGAAAAACCAATGATGGATACAACCAACAGCAGATGTCCGTAAATAGATAAGTAAGGTACAGGAATGACCTGGTTAAAGAGACCATCTGAATATGCCACAGCAGGCCAGTACTAAACAGTGATGAGGGGGCTCAACAAAGTGTAACTGAATTTATTACAATACATTGTTATCATCATGAGTTATTCTTTTTTTTCTGTTATCTGTTTAACATCTCATCACACTACCTTAGTTTACACAGAATCACAATACAGCAGTAAAAATTCAACAATTCTTTCCGTTCTCGTACACTACGTTTGTCGATGCAAGTACACTCAACACTGGTCATTTGTCTGATGTTGGTGACTGCATAGTCATTGAAATGTCACACTCCAGTCTTCTACTGGTTGTTTTGATATGTCTGCCAAAGTTTGAGAAATGACGGTGATGTATATATATCATATAAGGATTTTTGAAATTTTTATTTTTGAGAACCTTGGCGAGCAGATATAAAATTTCCGAGTCAAATTTCATAAAATCTGACATGAATTGAAAACTCCTCTAAGAAACATTTTATCACATAGCTCAGAAAGTAGCATTTTTTAAAGGTTTTGTACGTCAAAATATTAGTGACAAAATCAAATGGAGGCAACCATTTTGTTGTGTTATTATAGATTAATGACAGAATGTCATTGTCCATATGACATCGTGATCAATTTCTGAGTGGCACAGCCAATGGAAAACGCTCTAGGGTATATTACACAAGTAAGATATACAAAAAATATATGATATATAAAATAAAATACATGAATGAAATCACTGGATAACAGGTGGAGTATATGATATGTAAGAGATTAGAAAATTGCCTGACAAGCATTGTGTTACTTAAACAAATAAACATGTCTTTTGTGTGACTTATTTGTGTAAAGGCTACATTCAGTAAATGATAGTTGACGCTTGTAGTACTGTGTCCAAATACTTCTAAAGAATAATGCACTACTTATCTACATACAAGTCATGTACTGATGGTACACTGTTGTGTAGAACTTCATGTACTGATGGTACACTGTTGTGTAGAACTTCATGTACTGATGGTACACTGTTGTGTAGAACTTCATGTACTGATGGTACACTGTTGTGTAGAACTTAATGTACTGAAGGTACACTGTTGTGTAGAACTTAATGTACTGAAGGTACACTGTTGTGTAGAACTTAATGTACTGAAGGTACACTGTTGTGTAGAACTTAATGTACTGAAGGTACACTGTTGTGTAGAACTTAATGTACTGAAGGTACACTGTTGTGTAGAACTTAATGTACTGAAGGTACACTGTTGTTAGTACTGAAGGTACACTGTTGTGTAAACTTAAAGGTACACTGTTGTGTAGAACTTAATGTACTGAAGGTACACTGTTGTGTAGAACTTAATGTACTGAAGGTACACTGTTGTGTAGAACTTAATGTACTGAAGGTACACTGTTGTGTAGAACTTAATGTACTGAAGGTACACTGTTGTGTAGAACTTAATGTACTGAAGGTACACTGTTGTGTAGAACTTAATGTACTGAAGGTACACTGTTGTGTAGAACTTAATGTACTGAAGGTACACTGTTGTGTAGAACTTAATGTACTGATGGTACACTGTTGTGTAGAACTTAATGTACTGATGGTACACTGTTGTGTAGAACTTAATGTACTGAAGGTACACTGTTGTGTAGAACTTAATGTACTGAAGGTACACTGTTGTGTAGAACTGTACTTACACTGTTGTGTAGAACTTAATGTACTGAAGGTACACTGTTGTGTAGAACTTAATGTACTGAAGGTACACTGTTGTGTAGAACTTAATGTACTGAAGGTACACTGTTGTGTAGAACTTAATGTACTGATGGTACACTGTTGTGTAATCAATCTTATTAAGTACCTAACACTTGTTTTATGTTATTAGATGTGGACACGAGGCGACGGTCGGCTTGTGATTTAGTTCAGGCACTCAGTAAATCCTTCGAGGGAATAGTAATTCAGAACTTCTCTCAGTACATACAAGCCCTTCTCACGGTGAGTGTTATACTCAGGGTAATCCTGATATATGGAGTAATGCAGAGTTGGAAAGCTGCGATTTTGCATCTAAAATGTAGATAATTGAATAGTATCATTTTAACACAGAATAGAAATATTTAACAAGTGTTATTTTTGAAGGTATGTTTTTTATACTGATCAACAAAAACAAATATTCATCAAATATATTGGTTGGTAACGCTTTCGGACAAGCCGACCATCTGAATGGGGCTATGTCAGGCCGTGTATACTTCTGAGATCGGCAGTCAATGTGCAGATTTATAAGTTCAACAAAAGCTGCATATGGTATAAAAGTATAACTTAAGTGAAATATTTTTGCTCTGTAAAGCTTTTTTTTTCTGTATTCATTTGGACATGTACAGTGTAAATGCTGAAAGCGAATAGAATTAGTAATGTAATGTACAGAACGGCATCAGTTCAATTATATCCGAGTTCTGACAGGTCAACTTGGTTCACTTTTACAAACCCAACACTCCCTAATCCAGCCAATTATTCATGTCCCATGCATGGATGGTTTGGAGAAATTCCACTGTATTTGGTATTGAGGAAAGGAACATCTCTCAGTATATACAAGCTCATCTCAGTGTTATACTTTGGGTAATCCAGACATATGTAAGGAAGTTAACAAAGACACTAATTATCCTCTTTTAATGAAAGTCTGAGCTGAAATAGAGATGTTTTGTATGTTGTATGTATATAGGTGTGTATGTAACACTGATCCTTGTCAGCATTCTAGTGGTTTCATTCCTTGAGTGATTTTGATCTGAATTCCCAAACTTATGAAGGACCATTACTTTTCTTTGCAAGACAGAATTTTAATGTTGGATCAAGGTCACCACTGCTGTTTTAATGAAATCCTTTTTAGTGCTATATAGGTTTCACTTCTTTAAGGATTTCATCAAACTTTACACACTTACAAGGACCATTTGTATCTCAGACTAATCGGAGACCCCAAGGTCACTGCTACTATTTTTAGCAAAACATTGTTGGCACTGTAGCTGTTTCATTTCTTGCGGGATTTCAATTAGGCGTTTATGAATGATTGTAATATTTGGGACAAGTTTTGAATTTTCTGGTTGTAAGGTCAAGGTCATTCTAGAGAGATTTCAATCTTCACATTGATATAAAGGTTTATCACAGAAGAGAGTGAGTTGTAGAGTTGTGAGGTCAAGGTCACTAATACTATCTTCAGCAAAGCCTTGTCAGTACACTCATGGTTTCACTTCTTTGAGATTATGATCACACCTCAGACAATTGGCCATCTCCTTAATTGTTCAGCAAAATGGTACTGTAAGGGGACTTTTGTTGAATTTGATGCCTTGTTTCCATGGCAACGGGGCATTCATGTTTGATGTCTTATGGATGGAAAAAGAAGTAAAGATAACAGAGATATCCCATAATATATGTATATGGAATCTATATACACATATGTATATATATTTTTCTTTATGAAGGAGTATTCTAAAAACCCCACAGGCAACTGGAAATCTAAAGACGTAGCATTATATCTGGTTACCTCTCTGGCAGCCAAAGCCCAGACACAGAAGGTACAGTATCTTTCCTACCTAGTCATTCACAATCGCTTACTTTTAAAATTTAGAGTCGTTTGTAGCCGTCATGATTATACCAATATCAAACACAGATAGAGCTGAAGATTATCATAAATAAAGAAGTGAAAAATACTAGCAAAATTAGTTACATTAATGTAATTGATAGTGAAAAATAACAGGATATTTAGTAAATAAACAAAACAATATATTCTGATCTCAGTCAGCAACTTTGTTTAGTGTTAAGTACTTTCTGTTTGTAGCATGGTATAACCCAGACAAGCAGTTTAGTGAACATCACCGACTTTTTCCAGTCCCACATAGCACCAGATCTACAATCCAGTGATAGTAAGTATCACCAAGATCAGTAACACAGAACAGTTGTTTATGATATAATGTATAATTGATGAAGGGAGATGATATTATAGTTTTATTTAGTCTTCTTCTTCATGATATTTTTCAGTATCATCTTGTTCAGGAGAAAATTCCTGGTTTAGGTTTGGACAAATAATGCATAAAGAAGTTGATGTAAAATGATATTTGTTCTACTTACAGTAAATATCAGTCCCACTGACATTATATGTGTTTGTTCTACTTACAGTAAATATCAGTCCCACTGACATTATATGTGTTTGTTCTACTTACAGTAAATATCAGTCCCACTGACATTATATGTGTTTGTTCTACTTACAGTAAATATCAGTCCCACTGACATTATATGTGTTTGTTCTACTTACAGTAAATATCAGTCCCACTGACATTATATGTGTTTGTTCTACTTAACAGTAAATATCAGTCCCACTGACATTATATGTGTTTGTTCTACTTTTCAGTAAATGTGAGTCCCACTGACATTATATGTGTTTGTTCTACTTTTCAGTAAATGTGAGTCCCACTGACATTATATGTGTTTGTTCTACTTTTCAGTAAATGTGAGTCCCACTGACATTATATGTGTTTGTTCTACTTTTCAGTAAATGTGAGTCCCACTGACATTATATGTGTTTGTTCTACTTTTCAGTAAATGTGAGTCCCACTGACATTATATGTGTTTGTTCTACTTTTCAGTAAATGTGAGTCCCACTGACATTATATGTGTTTGTTCTACTTTTCAGTAAATGTGAGTCCCACTGACATTATATGTGTTTGTTCTACTTTTCAGTAAATGTGAGTCCCACTGACATTATATGTGTTTGTTCTACTTTTCAGTAAATGTGAGTCCCACTGACATTATATGTGTTTGTTCTACTTTTCAGTAAATGTGAGTCCCACTGACATTATATGTGTTTGTTCTACTTTTCAGTAAATGTGAGTCCCACTGACATTATATGTGTTTGTTCTACTTTTCAGTAAATGTGAGTCCCACTGACATTATATGTGTTTGTTCTACTTTTCAGTAAATGTGAGTCCCACTGACATTATATGTGTTTGTTCTACTTTTCAGTAAATGTCAGTCCCACTGACATTATATGTGTTTGTTCTACTTTTCAGTAAATGTCAGTCCCATTCTCAAAGCAGATGCTATAAAGTACTTAATGGTGTTTAGAAATCAGGTCAGTACATTGAATCAGAATAGCAATGGTTTGTTACTATAATTTGTACCCAGAAATCAGCCAGGGGCTAACATATAATAGAACCAAAGTCATGTGGTGGGCTTATTACAAGACAATAACCATAGCAGACTAGCGCATTACTGAATCAAAATCATGGGGTGGGCTTATTACAGGACAATAACCATAGCAGACTAGTGCATTACTGAATCAAAGTCATGGGGTGGGCTTATTTCAGGACAATAACCCTAGCAGACTAGCGCATTACTGAATCAAAATCATGGGGTGGGCTTATTACAGGACAATAACCATAGCAGACTAGCGCATTACTGAATCAAAGTCATGGGGTGGGCTTAGTTCAGGACATAACCCTAGCAGACTAGCGCATTACTGAATCAAAGTCATGGGGTGGGCTTATTTCAGGACAATAACCATAGCAGACTAGCGCATTACTGAATCAAAGTCATGGGGTGGGCTTATTACAGGACAATAACCATAGCAGACTAGCGCATTACTGAATCAAAGTCATGGGGTGGGCTTAGTTCAGGACATAACCCTAGCAGACTAGCACATTACTGAATCATGAGTCATGAGATGGAATTATTGAAAGACAAGGATATCGCATTATTGTATAGATTTACTGAACAGCAATATGTACGGGTGGGCTTATTATCAGACATGCGTTATTGCTGGATAAACATTGTAGGCTATCTCTCAAAATTATGCAAAAGAAGAATGCCATTAATTTTTTTTTTGGGAAGGGGAGGGGGGGGGATTGACTTTGTAAACTTAAAATTTACCGAAAGATTTTTACAATAGTTAAATCTGTAAATGAGTATTAACACAATTCAGTATCCATACAAAAAGTAATTTGGACTACAGTGTGATAAATATTGACAATTTTGTAATGACAGACATACAAAAAGTATTATCATTTGGACTACAGTGTGATAAATATTGAAAATTTTGTAATGACAGACATACAAAAAGTCTTATCATTTGGACTACAGTGTGATAAATATTGACAATTTTGTAATGACAGACATACAAAAAGTCTTATCATTTGGACTACAGTGTGATAAATATTGAAAATTTTGTAATGACAGACATACAAAAAGTCTTATCATTTGGACTACAGTGTGATAAATATTGAAAATTTTGTAATGACAGACATACAAAAAGTCATTTGGACTACAGTGTGATAAATATTGAAAATTTTGTAATGACAGACATACAAAAAGCCATTTGGACTACAGTGTGATAAATATTGAAAATTTTGTAATGACAGACATACAAAAAGCCATTTAGACTACAGTGTGATAAATATTGACAATTTTGTAATGACAGACATACAAAAAGTCTTATCATTTGGACTACAGTGTGATAAATATTGACAATTTTGTAATGACAGACATACAAAAAGTCTTATCATTTGGACTACAGTGTGATAAATATTGACAATTTTGTAATGACAGACATACAAAAAGTCTTATCATTTTGATGACACTATGGTATGTTGACATGTTTGTTTCTGTTACAGTTACCTCGGGAATCCTTAATAGCCAGTCTGCCCCACCTGGTGCGATACCTTAAGGCTACCAGCTTGGTGGTACACACATACGCCGCTCATACCATAGAGAGGATCTTCATGGTCCGGATACAGGACACTGGAAAGCCTGCGTGAGTGTTCTGTATACACTGGAATCGTTTTACCAACTGTAATATATCCACCAGATCAAGCTGGGAGGGATGAATATGTCTTTGTTTATCTGTTGCTGTCTAGTAAACACTATTCAATGTATGAATGTTAAATGATGTCCTTGAAATATATCGTAAGAATATTTTGTGAATACTTTTTTGAGAGTGACATATTAATAAATCCTTTACAGAGTGACATATTCTGATATCCAGGGGTTTGCTGGTGATGTAGTGTTAATAAATCCTTTACAGAGTGACGTATTCTGATATCCAGGGGTTTGCTGGTGATGTAGTGTTAATAAATCCTTAACAGAGTGACATATTCTGATATCCAGGTGTTTGCTGGTGATGTAGTGTTAATAAATCCTTTACAGGGTGATGTATTCTGATATCCAGGGGTTTGCTGGTGATGTAGTGTTAATAAATCCTTTACAGGGTGACGTATTCTGATATCCAGGGGTTTGCTGGTGATGTAGTGTTAATAAATCCTTTACAGGGTGACGTATTCTGATATCCAGGGGTTTGCTGGTGATGTAGTGTTAATAAATCCTTTACAGGGTGACATATACTGATATCCAGGGATTTGCTGGTGATGTAGTGTTAATAAATCCTTTACAGGGTGACATATACTGATATCCAGGGATTTGCTGGTGATGTAGTGTTAATAAATCCTTTACAGGGTGACGTATCCTGATATCCAGGGATTTGCTGGTGATATGGTAAATAACTTATTGGAAGCGTTGAACCATCCAGGATCTACAGAAAATGAATATGTAATGAAAGGTAAGGTTAGATCTAGTAATCAACAAAATCCCTATTTATAAAGAAATGACAAAAATAACTTCATTTACAATTCTTTGAAATGCTTCTCAGATGCAACATTAATATTGGTTTGTCTGTCAGTACAATATATATTTATTGAGAATTCTTTTACTTTTATGATAATGTAAGAAATTCAACAGTTATCAAACTTTATATGAAGTTATAATCTTAAGAAAACACTACACTGTAGGTAAAATAATGGTCATTTTGACTTTGATACCTGTTGATAAAATGTTAGTCACTGCGACCTTGACAGCTGAAGATATATTATCTATTTAAAAGTCTGACTTGAGATTAAATGTAAAGATTTTCATTTTATAACTGATAAACAGCATTGTAACATTTAAGTATCTATTAAAAACTTTCTGTTAATTAAAATATTTAACAGTTTGCATAACCATTTTATAAAAAATGTCAAAAAATAAAATGGGAGCAACCCAACACTAATTTATATCATTTTCATTCAGAGTGTGAAAACAATGTCATTGTGCATGCCCCATGCAGAAAAATTTAGAAATCTTAACAAAGTGGCAGATTACAATGTGGTTCTGAAAGGTCACGTGATGAATTCGACCAATCGCTGATCAAAACAGTGACTGGTGAGACAACAGCAAGTGTTGACCAGTGTTCGTTTGAGTTTGATAATCTTTATCATTTTTTCTCATAAATTGCTGTCAGTTTGTGTATAGTCTAATTTAAGTATTACAACACTTTCCCGAAATCAAACACTAAGATTGTAAGGATAAGGCTCAGAAGGTTGATACATTTGGAAAAACTTGATGTCTGGTTTACAGCTATCATGAGGACGATGTCAATGATGCAGGAGAATGTTCTACCATTTATGTCTCAGCTGATGAAAGTGCTCACAGAAAAACTCATACAAGTCAGCAAGGTAACGTTCTCACAGAAAAACTCATACAAGTCAGTAAGGTAACGTTATCACAGAAAAACTCATACAAGTCAGCAAGGTAACGTTATCACAGAAAACTCATACAAGTCAGTAAGGTAAAGTTCTCACAGAAAAACTCATACAAGTCAGCAAGGTAACGTTCTCACAGAAAAACTCATACAAGTCAGCAAGGTAAAGTTCTCACAGAAAAACTCATACAAGTCAGTAAGGTAAAGTTCTCACAGAAAAACTCATACAAGTCAGCAAGGTAACATTCTCACAGAAAACTCATAGAAGTCGGTAAGGTAAAGTTCTCACAGAAAAACTCATACAAGTCAGCAAGGTAAAGTTATCACAGAAAACTCATACAAGTCGGTAAGGTAAAGTTCTCACAGAAAACTCATAGAAGTCGGTAAGGTAAAGTTCTCACAGAAAACTCATACAAGTCAGCAAGGTAAAGTTCTCACAGAAAAACTCATACAAGTCAGCAAGGTAAAGTTCTCACAGAAAAACTCATACAAGTCAGGAAGGTAAAACTCTCACAGAAAAACTCATACAAGTCAGCAAGATAAAGTTCTCACAGAAAACTCATACAAGTCAGTAAGGTAAAGTTCTCACAGAAAACTCATACAAGTCAGCAAGGTAAAGTTCTCACAGAAAAACTCATACAAGTCAGCAAGGTAACGTTATCACAGAAAACTCATAGAAGTCGGTAAGGTAAAGTTCTCACAGAAAACTCATACAAGTCAGCAAGGTAAAGTTCTCACAGAAAAACTCATACAAGTCAGCAAGGTAACGTTCTCACAGAAAACTCATACAAGTCAGTAAGGTAAAGTTCTCACAGAAAAACTCATACAAGTCAGCAAGATAAAGTTCTCACAGAAAACTCATACAAGTCAGTAAGGTAAAGTTCTCACAGAAAAACTCATACAAGTCAGCAAGGTAACGTTCTCACAGAAAACTCATACAAGTCAGTAAGGTAAAGTTCTCACAGAAAAACTCATACAAGTCAGCAAGGTAACGTTCTCACAGAAAAACTCATACAAGTCAGTAAGGTAAGATGTAGAAAATGATTGATTTTTCACACTGATATTTGTTTTGTGTGAGGTCAGTGATGATTGGTTTACTTAATGAGTATATCTTATCGTGTTTAGATTCTTCAATCAGACAACATTTGTAAACAAATTTCTACTTCACTGAAAGGTAATTAGTCAATTCAGTGTAAAATCTTTCTTGTAAATACAAACTTAATAGTTTGATGATTACTAATGATCACAAAGCTTTATTATTGTACACTTGGAAATTATGTAAAATTAGCTGAGAACTTACATTTCAGATTGTCAATTCAAACTTTGAAGGTTGTATTTAGACAAACATTGAAGGTTGTATTTAAAACAACTTTGAAGGTTGTATTAAGACAAACAACTTTGAAGGTTGTATTTAGACAAACATTGAAGGTTGTATTCAGACAAATAACTTTGAAGGTTGTATTCAGGCAAACATTGAAGGTTGTATTCAGACAAACATTGAAGGTTGTATTTAGACAAACATTGAAGGTTGTATTTAGACAAACATTGAAGGTTGTATTTAGACAAATAACTTTGAAGGTTGTATTTAGACAAACATTGAAGGTTGTATTAGACAAACTTTGAAGGTTGTATTTAGACAAACAACTTTGAAGGTTGTGTTTAGACAAACAACTTTGAAGGTTGTATTTAGACAAATAACTTTGAAGGTTGTATTTAGACAAACATTGAAGGTTGTATTTAGACAAACTTTGAAGGTTGTATTTAGACAAACTTTGAAGGTTGTATTTAGACAAACATTGAAGGTTGTATTAGACAAACATTGAAGGTTGTATTTAGACAAACATTGAAGGTTGTATTTAGACAAACTTTGAAGGTTGTATTTAGACAAACATTGAAGGTTGTATTTAAAACAACATTGAAGGTTGTATTCAGACAAACATTGAAGGTTGTATTCAGACAAACATTGAAGGTTGTATTTAAAACAACTTTGAAGGTTGTATTTGGACAAACAACTTTGAAGGTTGTATTTAGACAAACATTGAAGGTTGTATTTAGACAAACAACTTTGAAGGTTGTATTTAGACAAACATTGAAGGTTGTATTTAGACAAACATTGAAGGTTGTATTTAGACAAACATTGAAGGTTGTATTTAGACAAACATTGAAGGTTGTATTTAGACAAACATTGAAGGTTGTATTTAGACAAACATTGAAGGTTGTATTCAGACAAACATTGAAGGTTGTATTTAAAACAACTTTGAAGGTTGTATTTAGACAAACAACTTTGAAGGTTGTATTTAGACAAACATTGAAGGTTGTATTTAGACAAACATTGAAGGTTGTATTCAGACAAACATTGAAGGTTGTATTTAGACAAACATTGAAGGTTGTATTTAGACAAACATTGAAGGTTGTATTCAGACAAACATTGAAGGTTGTATTTAAAACAACTTTGAAGGTTGTGTTTAGACAAACAACTTTGAAGGTTGTATTTAGACAAATAACTTTGAAGGTTGTATTTAGACAAACATTGAAGGTTGTATTTAAAACAACTTTGAAGGTTGTATTTAGACAAATAACTTTGAAGGTTGTATTTAGACAAACATTGAAGGTTGTATTTAGACAAACATTGAAGGTTGTATTTAAAACAACTTTGAAGGTTGTGTTTAGACAAACAACTTTGAAGGTTGTATTTAGACAAACATTGAAGGTTGTATTTAAAACAACTTTGAAGGTTGTATTTAGACAAATAACTTTGAAGGTTGTATTTAGACAAATAACTTTGAAGGTTGTATTTAGACAAACATTGAAGGTTGTATTCAGACAAACATTGAAGGTTGTATTTAGACAAACATTGAAGGTTGTATTAGACAAACATTGAAGGTTGTATTTAGACAAACATTGAAGGTTGTATTTAGACAAACATTGAAGGTTGTATTCAGACAAACATTGAAGGTTGTATTTAGACAAATAACTTTGAAGGTTGTATTTAGACAAACATTGAAGGTTGTATTTAGACAAACATTGAAGGTTGTATTTAGACAAACATTGAAGGTTGTATTTAGACAAACATTGAAGGTTGTATTAGACAAACTTTGAAGGTTGTATTAGACAAACTTTGAAGGTTGTATTTAGACAAACATTGAAGGTTGTATTCAGACAAACATTGAAGGTTGTATTTAGACAAACTTTGAAGGTTGTATTTAGACAAACAACTTTGAAGGTTGTATTCAGACAAACATTGAAGGTTGTATTTAGACAAACATTGATTGAAGGTTGTATTTAGACAAACAATTTTGTTGGTATTCATGTACTATTGATGGTTCTGTTGTGTCAAGGAAAACCAAGGCTGTAAAAACCAAACCAAAGTCTTTTGTAAAAATTTGATATTAGTTTACCATTTTAATGCAAACAACAGACAAATTGTACTTACAGGTCCATGGTTAAATATGGCTCGATGAAATTGTTATGTTTACCTTTGATTTTTGACAGAATCCCAGCAAGCCTCATTTTAACCATTACCTGTTTGAGTCACTGTGCATAAGTATTCGGTCCGTGTGTAAACACAGTGCTGAGGCAATTTACCAGTTCGAGCAGGCTCTCTTCACTCCTTTCACAAACATTCTGCAGCTTGATGTCCAAGGTAGGTAACTCTGTCCGTCCCTACAAGAGGACATCCAAGATACGTAGCTCTAAGATTGGTTGTATGATCAACTGATAGAATATTAGTAAACCATGGGATCTAACTGCCCCTCTCTTTCCTGGCTTATGTTTGTGTTCATACTGTACTTAATTTCATTGAAGAACTTATCAAAACAGGTAACAAAAACCCTGCCAAGTCCATTACTTGCACTTTCAGATGTCTTTAAATGAAAAGAATTTTTTTCTCTTAAGCTCCTCATCATAGCTATTTACCACAATCTGTCCTTACAACCCACAAGGATAGCTTTCAACACAGTCGTGTAATATGATAAGCATGTTGATAACATTTTCCTCTATTTCTAGACAGTAACATGCTTGCTTCCCCCAACCGAGTATATTGCAGTTGTCAACAGCTTTTTCTGATTTTATTGAAAGATGTTGATTGCTTTGAGAAATACTCGCAACACATTGTTACGAGAGAAGCGGTGTGAATTTAGTTGTGTTTGATGTCTGTATCACCAGGAATGAAAGCTGACCATTGTATTTACAGAGTTTGTACCCTACGTGTTTCAAATGCTATCGTTATTGATGGACTATCACCAGGGAGAGATCCCTAATACCTACATGGCTCTCTTCCCATTTCTACTGGTGCCTGCCCTGTGGGAACGCCCGGGAAACATTCCTCCATTAGTGCGACTTTTACAGGCGTACATAGAGAAAGGCAACACACAGATCGAGGCTGAAAAATTGGTAAATATTGTACAGCATATTAAACACACAGATCGAGGCTGAAAAAAATTGGTAAATATTGTACAGCTTAGTAAAAATACACAGATCGAGGCTGAAAAATTGGTAAGTATTGTACAGCATATTAAACACACAGATAGAGGCTGAAAAATTGGTAAATATTGTACAGCATATTAAACACACAGATCGAGGCTGAAAAATTGGTAAATATTGTACAGCTTAGTAAAAATACACAGATCGAGGCTGAAAAATTGGTAAGTATTGTACAGCATATTAAACACACAGATAGAGGCTGAAAAATTGGTAAGTATTGTACAGCATATTAAACACACAGATATAGGCTGAAAAATTGGTAAATATTGTACAGCATATTAAACACACAGATAGAGGCTGAAAAATTGGTAAATATTGTACAGCATATTAAAAACACACAGATAGAGGCTGAAAAATTGGTAAATATTGTACAGCATATTAAAAACACACAGATAGAGGCTGAAAAATTGGTAAATATTGTACAGCATATTAAACACACAGATATAGGCTGAAAAATTGGTAAATATTGTACAGCATATTAAACACACAGATAGAGGCTGAAAAATTGGTAAATATTGTACAGCATATTAAACACACAGATAGAGGCTGAAAAATTGGTAAATATTGTACAGCATATTAAACACACAGATAGAGGCTGAAAAATTGGTAAATATTGTACAGCATATTAAAAACACACAGGCTAAAAAATTGGTAAATATTGTACAGCATATTAAACACACAGATAGAGGCTGAAAAATTGGTAAGTATTGTACAGCTTAGTGAAAATTCACAGATAGAGGCTGAAAAATTGGTAAGTATTGTACAGCATATTAAACACACAGATAGAGGCTGAAAAATTGGTAAATATTGTACAGCTTAGTGAAAATTCACAGATAGAGGCTGGTAACTTTTGTACTGTACACTACTAAAACACAGAAATAGAGGCTGGCAAACTGGTAAATATTGTACAGTATACTAAACACACACTGATGGAGGCTGGTCAATTGGAAACTTTTGTACAGTATATTAAAAAAGCACACAGATAGAATCTGGCATATTGGTAATTATTGTGCAGCGGATTAAAAACACACAGTTGCTAATTTAGCCACAACATAAAAGCCTGCTGGAGGGCTTTTTAGGGACATAGGTAAGGTAATTAAATTTGTAGACTGTGGCAACTTCAGACTTTGATTATCGTCAAATCTTTGCATATTTTATGAGACTGCTGTGACCCGATTGGCTGATATCTTTTGGCACTCTAACTGAATGCTTTCCACACGTTGGATTTGAATGGTCAGATGAATAATGATGAGACTTGCTTGGTAGACTTGTTACCTGAACCCCTTGTTCAAGTTTGATTATCGGCAAATTCTGCGCATATTTCTTTTCCAGTTTTCTATGTTGTTCACTGTAAATGTACATATTTTACAAATCAACATGGGCGGGGAACCTTGATGACTAAACTTAAGAATTATTTAGATGTCTTAATGTTTTTGTTTCAATAGTGGTGTGACAGTTGATCAAGAATAGTTAAAAGCTTGTATGATTTCCTGTTAAGGTAACCCAGTCACCAAAATGAAAATTTTGAGTGATCTCCACTTTAGGGTTATCAGTATATCAACCTTGTTATTGTAACAGATAACATATTTGAACAAATTGCTATAGCTGTATGTATTGTGCCTGTAGATTCAGGATCAGTAGCGAGTAAGGTAATGTCCAGACCTGTGGAGATTAACAAAAAAAATCTGGGTTTATTGTTAAAGTTTTAATGTGCAATGACTAAATTTTGAAGTTTTTGCTTCAGTCACGAAAATCAGGAATATAAATGTCATAAGGAAAAAGTTAGTAGTGGCTTTGAACCTCACTTTGTGATATAACCTGTGGCCTTGAACCTCACTTTGTGATATAACCTGTGGCCTTGAACCTCACTTTGTGATATAACCTGTGGCCTTGAACCTCTCTTTGTGATATAACCTGTGGCCTTGAACCTCACTTTGTGATATAACCTGTGGCCTTGAACCTCACTTTGTGATATAACCTGTGGCCTTGAACCTCACTTTGTGATATAACCTGTGGCCTTGAACCTCACTTTGTTATATGACACTTTGTGATATAACCTGTGGCCTTGAACCTCACTTTGTTATATAACCTGTGGCCTTGAACCTCACTTTGTGATATAACCTGTGGCCTTGAACCTCACTTTGTGATATAACCTGTGGCCTTGAACCTCACTTTGCTATATGACCAGTGGCCTTGAACCTCACTTTGTGATATAACTTGTGGCCTTGAACCTCACTTTGTGATATAACCTGTGGCCTTGAACCTCACTTTGCTATATGACCAGTGGCCTTGAACCTCACTTTGTGATATAAACTGTGGCCTTGAACCTCACTTTGTGATATAACCTGTGGCCTTGAACCTCACTTTGTGATATAACCTGTGGCCTTGAACCTCACTTTGTGATATAACCTATGGCCTTGAACCTCATTTTGTGATATAACCTGTGGCCTTGAACCTCACTTTGCTATATGACCAGTGGCCTTGAACCTCACTTTGTTATATAACCTTTGGCCTTGAACCCCACTTTGCTATATGACCAGTGGCCTTGAACCTCACTTTGCTATATGACCAGTGGCCTTGAACCTCACTTTGTGATATAACCTGTGGCCTTGAACCTCACTTAGCTATATGACCAGTGGCTTTGATCCTCACTTTGTGATATAACCTGTGGCTTTGAACCTGACTTTGCGACATTACCAGTGGCCTTGAACCTCACTTTGTGATATAACCTGTGGCCTTGAACCTCACTTTGCTATATGACCAGTGGCTTTGAACCTTACTTTGTGATATAACCTGTAGCTTTGAACCTGACTTTGCGACATTACCAGTGGCCTTGAACCTCACTTTGTGATATAACCATTGGCCTTTAGCCTGACTTTGTGATGTAACTTCAACAGGAATTTGTTGCTAGATATATTGATAAGACCTGAAATTTGAAATCTCTTAAGAAAATCCTTTACCAAATTGTAAATCTTATCCATTGTTTTACTTACAGAATGGTCTATTGGGAATTTTCCAGAAACTTATTGCCTCCAAAGCCAACGATCATGAAGGATTTTATTTACTAAATAGTATTATAGAACACATGCCACAGTAAGTATTGTAAAACACATGTTACAGGAAGTATTATAGAACACATGCCACAGTAAGTATTGTAAAACACATGTTCCAGGAAGTATTATAGAACACATGCCACAGTAAGTATTGTAAAACACATGTTACAGGAAGTATTATAGAACACATGCTCTAGTTAGTAGTTATTGGCCCCAGGATTAGAAAATCACATAGAACACACAGAAGATTGAGAAATAGAGAGTTAGAATAAAAAGGATTTCACAGAAGTTAGTGAAGCATGTGACTGCAAAGTAACAAATTGTTTGAACATTACCAGAAATTGATTGTAGTCTTTGGGGTTAATGAGATCAGTATAGAACGTTACAAAATTCGGGATAACAGAGTGCAGAATATTGATTCAACAGATTAAAAGGTGATTGTTGAATTTTTTCATACAAATTACAAACGAGAAAAATGCTTCTCGATATTGTTTCCTATATGTGATTTAATTTCTTTATTTTCTTGACAGTGAAATCATCACACAGTACACCAAACAGATATTCGTTTTGATATTCCAAAGACTTTCAAGTTCAAAAACAACAAAGTACATCAAAAGTAAGTAATACTGGATAAGAAACAGTACATGTTATTAATGTTGGAGTGATGTTAGCAAACACAAATTATTATAGACAAGTGTTAATACACAATTATATCTTATAAATCTCTTGTTCTGTGTTCTAGGTTTGTTGGTTTTCTTCGGGCTGTTTGCTGTAAAGTATGGAGCAGGGAATCTCGTGGACACTATAGACAGTATTCAACCAAAGTACGTGTCTCACTACTAACTGTGTGATCTGTGTCTGTAATAAGCTTGATCATTGATTTATTATTGTATTTACTGGTTTGATCAGTGATATTTTTCTTCTGGATGTTTGACTGTTGATCTGTGTATAAAAGATGTTTGTCCATTGATCTGTGTGTAAAAGATGTTTGATCATTGATCATTGTATAAGAGATGTAGACCATTAATCTGTATATAAAGGATGTTGGGCATTGATCCGTGTGTAAAGGATGTTTGACTATAAATTTATGTGGAAAGGATGTTTAACCATTGATGCCTTGTAAGATGTTGAAAAGTTGATGTGTTTCAGTAAGATGTTTGATGAATAACCTTTTTCTCTGAGGTGCCTGACCCTTGATCTGTTTCAGTAAGATGTTTGATGAATAACCTGTTTCTATGAAGTGCCTGACCCTTGATCTGTTTCAGTAAGATGTTTGGTTAATGATCTGTTTCTATGAGGTGCTTGACCATTGATATTTGATAAGATGTTTGATTATTTCCTGCAGGATGTTTGGAATGGTAGTAGAGCGGTTATACCTACAAGATCTGCAGAAAGTATCTGGACATACTGAGAGGAAGATTTGTGCTGTAGGAGTGGCTAATATACTCACAGAGTCCCCAGCAATGATACAGAGTTATGATACCTTGTGGTCAGTTAAGTTTTTTGGTGTAAAAGACATGTGATGCATTAAACTTAAATAACTGTTAAAGATTTATAAACACATGATAAATGAAGATTAGTTAACTTTGTTATAGACACACGACAGGTTAAAGTTAATTAACCATGTTATAGACATATGATAGGTTAAAGTTAGTTAACCATGTTATAGACACATGGTAGGTTAAAGTTTGTTAACCATGTTATATACACATAATCGGTTAAAGTTAGTTAACCATGTTATAGACACATGATTGGTTAAGGTTAAAGTTAGTTAACCATGTTATATACACATAATCGGTTAAAGTTAGTTAACCATGTTATAGACACATGATAGGTTTAAGTTAGTTAATTATGTTACTTTGCTACTGACACATTGTGTGTTGTGTGTTCTGGTAACTCCGTGTTATAGTATTAGACACATGTTCTGTTATAGTTAGTTAACTATTTTATAGTGTTATAACACATCAAAAGGTTCCTGACATTTGTTTCTGTTTGCCATGCAGGGGTCGTCTACTACAGGCCCTGATCAGCCTGTTTGAGTTACCTGAGGACGAGTCTGTCCCAGATGATGAACATTTTATTGAGATTGAAGATACGCCTGGTCAGTATACACATTTTTATTTTGGAAATTCGAAACTTTAGAATTTCTATCACAACAGATGGGTGTAATTCAACTCCCAAGGCATCAGTTAACCTTTATAGTGGTTGCATTACAAAAAAATGTAATTCATTTGGATTAAACCCAGAACGCATCATCATTGGCTGACAAGACAAATTTTGCCCAGGATTACTTTGTACTCACAGACATCATCATATGGAATTCTTACACAGACAGTAAGGACTGACACACATTTTGAATCATTTTTATTTTTGTTTGGAGGACTGATATTAGCATGTTTAACATAAACAACACTGATGATAAAACTACTGACAACACTGCTGACAACAAGGCTGACAACACTACTGACAATACTGCTGACAACACTGACAACTGCTGACAATACTGACAACACTGATGACAAAACTACTGATAATACTGATGATAACACTACTGACAACTCTGTTAACAACACTACTGACAACTCTGTTAACAACACTACTGTCAACACTGATGACAACAAGGCTGACAACACTGCTGACAATCCATTGACAACACCCCTGACAACCTTCTAACAATACTACTGACAACACCCCTGACAACACTAATAACAACACTGCTGACAACACCCCTGACAACACTACTAACAACACTGCTGACAACCCTTCTGAAAACACTGCTGCCAACTCTGCTAACAACACAACTGACAACACTGATGACAACACAACGGACAACACTGATGACAACACTGATGACAACACTGCTGACAACACTGATGACAACACTACTGACAACACTGATGACAACACTACTGACAACACTGATGACAACACTACTGACAATGCTGACAAAACCACTGACAACACTGTTCCTTCTGTATAAAAAAATCCTTCGCATTATAACTCCCAGTGATAATGTGCAAAAAGTAGTTCACAAATGTCCTTTATTTTACTTACTTCATTTTGTTACAAATTATAATATTTCTGTCTATTTCTGAAATTGTCAGTTTTGTATATTATTTAGTGACATTCCACAACAGGTTGTATCATTATGTCCTACCTGATATCATAAACAACAAGTGGATAGAGAACAGTGATTTTACCATAAGAAAAGTTCTTTTATTGTGGTACAAACTCATGTCTACCATGTATAGTTTTTCTTCAAATCTCATCAGCTATTTCTCAAAAGTTACAAGGCTAAGCTCATGTTTTGGTAAAATTTCAAAAATAACAAACAAGAAGCTATCCCTGACAGATGTCACTCTAAACTTCAGATTACTGACTTTGAAAAGTGCATTAACTTATTTTCTGTGCAGATAATTTTTTGACAGTCGTATAAAGGTAGTGCACCACTTCAATGTTTTCAGATATAAATAGATTTAGGGATGGAGCAACAGAATTGATGAAATATTTCAAGAATAATCCATAAAATCGATGGTTACTGTGATTCTCTTTGGACCTAAATATTGCTGTTATTTATGTATATGTGTTTACCTTTGTTGCTAGGTTACCAGACAGTCTACTCACAGCTGGCATTTGCTGGTAAGAAGGAGAGAGACCCACTGGCAGCCATTCCAGATGCTAAATTACACCTGGCCAAACAACTTGGCAAACTCTCTACTGCTCATCCTGGCAAAGTAAGGCATAATTCTTCTAAAGAATGAAAAAAGGCCAGAATGCAGAGATGAAGGACTAACAAATTTATTCAAATTATTGACCTTGACTTACTTTCAACGCTACATGTGTTAAATGTGTTGAGAACTGAAAAGATCTTATTACGTTTGCAGAACTTGAAATTATGAACTAATAAATGCTTCTGTGTAAACTGTAGAACAGGTGAGAGAATCAGGCCAGTTGCGCTACCTGTTTTTTCATTTACTGTTATAATATTCTGAAACCGAAGAATTTCAATATTTTACTTATTGTTCTTACTACTACTACTGCTTGTCTTATTTCTGTTTCTCTATCCTTTTAAGTGATTTTTTTCTCTGTTATAGGTTCCTCCGTTGATCAGCTCTGCCCTGGAGCAGCCAGCCCAGGCCTTCTTACAACAGTACCTTACTGCGGCAGGTGTCCAGCTTGGATGACATAAAACCCAATAGATGTCGCCTCAAACAACAATCTCATGACAGCGTCGGTTGGGGTCTTTTCCCACGTCTGATCCACAGATTTAAATCTTCATAGTTATACTATTACAAATCATTAAAAAAAAACTTGTGATATTTTGTGAATTTATTAACATGGTGGACAGATAAGGAAACCTGCTTCTATTAATGCATTACAGAGAACATGGTAGTCTGCTGGTACCAGTCATCAAAACTGCTATCTACTGCTAATAAACCACTGGATTTAAAGTGTTTTCTCACTTCATTAGGGGTGCTTCAATTACATACTGACATTCGTATCCTACAGTCCGAGAATTGTTGTTAAATTCTGTACAGGAAAAATAGACATTCATAAGTGTATTTCAATTGATTGTTTTAAGAAAAAACTTGTCCATACTTGTAAAATGTCAGTAGGTGCTTTTCATTTTCTCTGAAAAATTGTGCAAAGAATTTACTGAAAGTAGTCGAAGAAAGTAGTAATGGTCGACAGTTGGATGTTGATGTAAGCTACATAGACTTTGTCCAAGTGTAGTGCTGGAGCATCAATGAGATATACCAAGAATTATATTAATCAACTTAAGCATTGAAATTTCCCTTCCATCCTCTTGATAGTGTTAATGGCCAGGATGACAATCATCAGTAGACCACGAATAAGGATTGATGACGATACTGAGGTTAATTATAATAGTCTACATATCACTGTCAGTATCAGGACAAGTGCTGATATTTATTTCTGAAGTGCTGTTAGATGCTAACAATTTAAGAGTTCCAAAGAAAACTCTTATCAGTGCTACAAGCAATATCGATCGTCGAATTTGGCTTAAAAAATCCGTGCTATTCTTGATAAGAAACTTGCATGTCTAAGACATGATAGTCATTACATGTATAGCTAATGACAGAGCAATGTCAAGTTTAAATGTGTTCCTAACTATACTTCATTGTTAAGTTTCCAGTCTATAAAATGTTTTAATTTATAGAAAATCAGTGTCCCTACAGGTAATTATCTGTAGAAAGTTTAACGGCAAGCATTTATTGAATTCTGGGTATTTTAAATATCTTTTTCATTTACACTATAAGTGCATTTCTACCATTCTTTTTTTGTGTGTACAAACTTGCATGATGGATGGAAATAAACAACTTTTTGTTTTCAAAACTCTTTTCTGTTTTCCTTGGTCAGTGTTCAGGAGCCTTGATGGTTTGCTGTTCAAATCAACTTTGTTATTTGGTACCATCATTTTCATTTCACAAAGACCAGGATGAATCTGATGAAGACCCATACAAAAGTTATTTTAAATTTCACAATTCCGTTGGTTTTATTTCTTGTAAGGTACTTTGAAGGATCTTTATGAAATTTTATTTATACAATACAGGTGTAATTTTGTCATGGAAAATACCGAAAGGATCATTTGATATGCAAGATTGTGTTTTCACCCGAACAGCTAAGGGAAAACAATTTCTGCCTAAAAGTAAGACAGTGGACTAAATTCAGGATGTCTTAATAGAATCTATTTTTGATTTGATCTGCTGGATGAAAACTTTAGTTTGAAAATTCATTGACTCCTGTTTTAGAACTGAATGCAATATCTGACTTCATTGTAACTTTGATGCTAACAGAATCTGAGCAAGATCATACCACTTGCCTTCAGATTTTGCAAGAGAAAATTTGCTTTCATTATCCAGCGATCTGTTATCAAGATGCTCCAATATAATGTATTAAAGGATAGAAAGGTAGAGATTTTACCTAGAGGATGGTACGTACATTAAACCCTTTCTTCTGATGGTGTAAGCTAGTGGTACATTTGGTGAAATTTTGAGACAAATGGTGACTTCTGGTGATACCTTTTAGTGAATTTTCTAATTACCTTGCTTTTGACTATTGATAATTTGTAAATGATTTAAAGCATTCCATGTTTGTCTCGCCATAAGCCATGGGGCATATAATTTGCTTCTACTTAGGTGAACTTCTCATTACAGGACAATGAAGTCACATTGGTTTGCAATACTTAACAGTAATATATATGGGTGGGCTTATTACAGGACAATGAGTGTCGCTTTGGTGTGTAATGGTCTTATTACAGGACAACGAAGTAATACTGGTTTTTTACCCTTATGAACAATATATATATATATATATATAAGTGGGCTTAATACCAAGCATGGACCTATCACCATAAAATTAAAATACAGGTAACTTACAATTAGACACATCCTGGAAGAGTTTCAGACAACTGTATTTTAACACTGTGATTATGACAATGATGGGTATCATTTCCATAGTACCGGAAACAAAAAATGACAAACCAGTGTTATGTAAATTTTTTTTTGAATTTAATAAATAAAATTCATGCCTGATTTAACAAATTAAAATAACAACATCGAGCTGTGATTGGCATACTGCGATCCTCAGACATCTCGTCTCTGGTCCACAGTGATGTCATTTTTTTTATATGAGATGAGGCCAGTCTCTCTTCTCCCACTCCCTCTTTCACCTACTCGGTCTCAAACAGCTGTAAATACAATTGAAAAGTTTCTTTAATGTGTTTGAGTGTAGATTTTCCATAGAAATAATATTTTGTCCAGGGAATTTCCATGGAAATCTTGGAAATAAGTCCATATATACTAGGCCTTTTCCATGAACCTACTGGCCATGGAATTTCTAATGAAAAACCTGGGTTATTACATCAGACCTGTGTACAGAGTGTTACTTTTTCTTTGGTTTTATAGCAGTCTGTGCCTGCGTAAATTGGGAAACTACAGTTCAATTTTCTAAAATAAGATTGTGAAAAATTTACTTAGATTTTGATTCATTTGGAGAAAATAACACACATCATGGCAAGGAGAAATAGCCTTTATTTAGCTGTAAAACTGGGCAATCCCTGACATCAGACCTACTTAGTTATGTATAGTGTTACACTAGCTATTTACTTACAAATAGTGTTATACCAGACCTATAGTTTCATACAGTGCTACATTCTACCTACTGCATGGTTTACACCAGACCAGACTAGACCTACATACATACAGTCTTATACCACAGATATACTTACATACAGTGCTACATTCTACCTACCAGACTAGACCTACATACATACAGTCTTATACCACAGATATACTTACATACAGTGCTACACAATGTCTATTCAAGCTTTTTGACGTTGTTGATGGAGACATAGTGGTAAAGGACCACCAGAAGGAACAAAGTCACTCCCAAAGCATTAGCAAATATTGCTAGCTGTATGTCTGTGATCATCTGGAAGAAAAATTAGACAAAATAACAATTAGCACTAAAACAAAAACTTCCTTCGTAAGTCAGGGGTCCCACCATTAGGTGAAACTAGTAGTAATGTGTCACACTTTCATCATGATCTGTGATTACCATTTCATTTCAACGCATAATTTTGATTTCGTGATGTAAAAAAGTGACTTTTGATGATCGGCTAGATATCGTTAACATACAAAGTCAGTTTCAATGATTGATCATCCAATAAATCTTAGGTTTGAATCATGATTTGATAAACACTGGGTGCAACCTGAATTTTTTTATTATCATGAGATTGATGATAACAAGCTGATCAATATTCAGGATCGTTATTCATGGTAACTTTGATCTAGATATATAGGCTCGGTGCCTGTTTCCAGTTTTATTATAGTATTATGGCAGCGTTCATATTGTATGTTAAGTTCATTTGTGTATCAGTCTTATGTACTGTGGTGTCCATAGTGTGATTGTAATATGGTCTGTGTCACATACCGTTATTTGTACTGTGTCCTGTGTAGTTCATGAATGTACTTAAGACAATGGAGAATCTCTCTAGACATAAATCTCACAAAAAGCAACTTCTCGGGAGATTTCTAATTCGAGATTTCGAGAATTTTAAGAGATTCCGCATATCGGTGACCATTGGAAATATGCTGGTAAGGAAAGTTGTTAATGAAAACGAGAGGAAATATTTGGATTTACAGCATTTAATAGCTTTGACACAAATGCATGTTAGCAGATAAATGTTTCGATCTTTTCATCATTGTATGATGTGTAACTACCAGAAGCAACAAGTCAATCAAAAACCGACAGTAACGTTAGAAAGGACAGCAAAGCGTTTTCAGATGTCAAAAGTATCCAGCAGACATCAAAAGATGCGACGTTCGTCGCGGAAAGACTTGTACAGGATGCGTTGGGAATTGTAAATCGGGCCGTGCAAGTCTTCCGGCCCTTTTCTTCGGATCCGTTTTACGCCTCTCTCTTAGTGTTAGTGACATCGTCTAAGAGAATTTTCTATTTTACCATTCCCAGTGATAGAATGTTACTAAATATAGCAATAGGCGTTGTTAATACTGAATATTAGCCTTGTGCAGAGCCATTTTCTGAAAACGCAGTAGCATTACTTGCTGCTGTCAATAACCATGCTAACATCTAAACTTACTAAGATACCTTACTTATTCAACAAATACCTTTTCTTTCCTGTGACCGGCAAGAAACGTGTTACGTTGAGATTTGTGTATACGTGGGGCACCTTGCGAGAACTCGCGAGATTTGAAAGCAGTCTGTCTTCCGGTAAATTTCAGCCAATCAATAACCAGATCGTAACTGACAGTTCTGTGAATGGAGTGACAAAGAAGTTGGCGGGAGCTGCTTCCAAGTTTGGTGTGTCTTTGTTCGCACGTGGTCTGACAATGAAAACAATGTCACAATTCGAGAGACGGATTTTTACGCACATCAGACACTCCAGACAGAGAAAGAGTAAAGGAAAACGGTAAGTTGTTTAGATTAAGACGATGTCACGGAGCAGATTTGCCAAACAATATGGACAACAAGTACATTGTTATTGTGAAAGTATACAAACAAGGAGGTGTGGCACGTTGTTGTGGTTTAGAAGTAAGCAGTACTTTTTATTGATAATATCGTGACATTTTCAAGGACTGTCAGTGACAGGTAGGACATTAATTCTAAAACACTGTTTCAAAGTTACAACACAGTTTTCGCGTGTTTATGAATCGTATCTATTTCTGGAGCAGCCGACAAGTATCAGGTTCTCTTGCTAGTGTTTATCCTTGTTTGGGACGCTTCCGGGTTTCCCAACCAACAAAAGAAAATGCATGTGTTGGAATGTGGTTGAGATTGTGAAAGTTGTCACTTAAAACACGTCATCACGTGTGGTATGTACTAGTGCTAGATAACACAATGATATACCGTATGCACAATTTAATTTAATTAGTATCGTGTACATATGTACTGCATGCAAGCATTGACAGATCAGGCACATGCACGCACGTGCTTTTTGTCCATCAACAAAGTCCTTTGTTCGGACATGCAACAGTCTACTGTACGTAGCTCTGGGAATCGTGAGTAATAATTTGAATGCATTGTTAAAATGTTTGAATTTCTATGTCTTGAACTGCTTGAAGATTTTATTTTATGATATTTTATTTACAAGAAATTGAACAAAATGATAAATAAACCCATAACGTTTTAGTACTACTAATTCTTATTAAGAACAAAGAGTTTTCCTCTGCTGCACAAATAATTGTTTTTAATTGATGAAAATGATTTTTTAAGAAGTCAGTATCAATTAAGGCTAGAGAATAACACAAACTATGTGATTTTCTTACAAGTATTTAAGAGTAGAATACAAATTTTAACTATTTGTAGCTCATATACACCACAAATATCACTGATTATTGCGACTGATGGGAAAAAAAACCTGGCTGATAATATCTCAAATAAAAAAAGTCATTCTAATACCCCTGTTAAACATGGACAGATTTTTTCCCCAAATATTCGTAATTAAGTGGCTATTGTAAGTATGTTTGACTTATTTATGACTACATACTTTTTTTTTATGTCAAATAATTAAGGAAAAATAGGCAAACTGATCTGAAATGAACCTAACATGTCACAGGTTATGTAAAATGGAAAATAATTCCTTTTTAGAATAGTTAAAATTACTGGTTTATTGATATGAATGCAGACATATATTGTGAATGAATCACTGCAAAAATGTAAATACAATGCTGATGTTAACATTGATTTGTTTCCATCTCCACCCTGTTGCAGCTAGAACAATATGTTAAGTAGGATTTCTGGTAGAAAGCAACGTATGGCTGTGAAAAAAACCAACATTGCTAAATAGGACAATGTCATGTAAACCACTTACTTTCATTGCATTGAATATTCATAAAATTACAAATGATGCAGTACCAAGTGATACAAAATGGCTGCTAGAAAAATTTGGTAGCCAGTTTTCGCTTAATCAGTTTCTGTCTTGTTCTTAAAGTGTTGGCCTGATTAGAAGTCCTATTTATGTAATTGGTGACTGTGAAGGTTTTGGTGGACTAAAACTGGGTGACTTGATCAGGGTCGTTTACCGACGGCAAGGGGTGAAATTTACCTGTAGCAGGTGGGACTGGCTACCTCAGGGCACCTTGGGCAATAGTTATCAGTTGGGGTCACAAGGAATAGCCCAGACGTCATATATGTGTTATATAGCTTACGAAAGTCAATTCTGAGCAGAAAAAATGTAATAATAACTGATATTTTAAGATAAACTATATCAAAATACTTTTTTTATTAACAAAATTTATAGATGGAGTATATTGTATATGGTACAAGGAAAGAATATTATAAGCAGCTTATCATAATATCTGATATCATAAGTGGCTCCCACTGATATATATATATAATATTTGCATTTGTGTGTAATTATACTGTTATAATATAGGATTGGGAATGACCATACAATACATGATGTGTTGCAGTAGGATATTGAATATAGATTGTGTCTTCAGATTCATTTGTTACATACTGCAGTTACATATTAAATATGTTAAGAAAGTGAGGTGAAACATGTGACAATGGGAAAGTTAATGATTATGAATATAGATGCCTTAGGTATTTCATATAAAACATGATTACACATTTCTATATGTATCACAGGCTACACTCGAGCTGAAATTTCATCAATAAATCGGCTGCAAAAATCTCCGGACAGTGTATATATGTATCATGATAAAAATTGTCTCAAGACCTTTGTGTAATGACATATTTTATCAATATTGTTATGTTATGAAAACTGTCACTTTAGCATACATGTGTAAAGAAATATCAGATGCATTTAAACTGGACAAGTTGTTTGACAATCTAATTTAAATGATCTCTAATTTAGCGCTTGGTAAACTGCATGACTCTGGTTTTAGAAATGTATAGATTCTTTGATCAAATGTGGTCACCTACTTTGATACATGGGTTTTCCCTTTGTACTGTAGTTTCCTCCCACAGGTAGAGACTTCACATACTTCTATCTAGGTTATCAGGAGAGTAAGATTTATTAAATAGAAATGAGTTTCCATTTCATATGAATTTACTAAATATAAATCTGTTTTCATTTCATATGATTTTGTTAAAAATAAATCAGTTTTTATTTCATATGAATTTATTAAATATAAACCTGTTTTCATTTCATACGTATTTATTACATATATAAACCTGTTTTCATTTCATATGAATTTATTAAAAATAAATCTGTTTCCATTTCATACAAATTTATTAAATATATAAACCTGTTTTCATTTCATATGAATTTATTAAAAATAAATGTTTCCATTTCATATGAATTTATTAAATATAAACCTGTTTTCATTTCATACGAATTTATTAAATATATAAACCTGTTTTCATTTCATATGAATTTATTAAAAATAAATCTGTTTCCATTTCATACGAATTTATTAAATATATAAACCTGTTTTCATTTCATATGAATTTATTAAAAATAAATCTGTTTCCATTTCATATGAATTTATTAAATATAAACCTGTTTTCATTTCATACGAATTTATTAAATATATAAACCTGTTTTCATTTCATACCCACCTGTATAAATTACACTACCTTCCACGTGTACAGATTTCACTCCACCTCCCTCCTGTGTAGATTTCACTCTACCTCCCACCTGTATAAATTACACTCTGCCTTTCATGTGTACAGATTTCACTCCACCTCCCATCTGTATAAATTTCACTCCATCTCCCTCCTGTATAGATTTCACTTTACCTCCCATCTGTATAAATTACACTCTACCTTCCATGTGTACAGATTTCACTCCACCTCCCAATTGTATAAATTTCACTCCACCTCCCATTTGTATAAATTTCACTTTACCCCCCACCTGTATAAATTACACTCTACCTTCCATGTGTACAGATTTCACTCCACCTCCCTCCTGTATAGTTTTCACTTTACCTCCCACCTGTATAAAATACAGACTTCACTCCACTTTGAAGGACTGATATGGTCAAGGGATGTTCTCTGTGACTATAAATGTTGATATGATGGGAGAATGTGACAGAAACAGAAGTTAGATGATACATCCAGGGTATAAAACACAAAGTCTATGCAACAATCTTTAATCAAATCTCCCAGTGTTAATCAAATCTCCCAGTGTTAATCAAATCTCCCAGTGTTAATCAAATCTCCCAGTGTTAATCAAATCTCCCAGTGTTAATCAAATCTCCCAGTGTTTTGCCATTAAAAAAACAACAGTGACTGTATTTGGATCTGTTATGAATGCTGGAAGCTTCAACTTCGAGGGGGTTGGGGTTGGGGTGAGGTTAGCAGTGTAGGCATACCCATGGATGCCAGTCACTCTGTCATTGGTTCTTTGATCTCATGATAGTGTTTTGTGTTGGAGGAGGATGAAAAAGGCCCCAAGGTTTAATGACTGTTTTGCAGAAAAATGATATAAAAGAATATTATTTAGGAAACTGAAAATTAACGAGTAAATGTTTTTCAAGAGTGTGATTGTTTTAAATGTGTGTGTTCAAATAGGGTGTGTATTCGGGGTATTGTTTTGTGTCTGAAATGAGCATGCAAACAACAAATGAACAGATCGAAATACCAAAAAGATATTGCAAATAGCCAGCCAATCAGATTAGATCACAAATACTCAAGAGAGTAAGGGGACAGCAAAAGAGGAGTAATATGATGCTCTTCCAAGCACTAGATCACCTTTATATAGAATTGTATATCTGACCAATGGGCAGAGACAAGCCATAATACCAGAATGTATCGATGGTTGTAAGTTTATAATAAAATAGAAGGGGAGATCACCATACTGTACTGCAAAATTCAGAATGAAAATATATGGATTGGACAAAGGGAGGCGACTGTTTCATACTTGGGAGCACCAGCTGACAATGCAAGTTAAAAAGAATACATTTCAAGATAAAATTTTAAAAAATCAATTAAATTTGGTTCGCAAATTCTTCTGAGACAGCCTATGATAACAATATCTTCCCTCTGTCATCTCTAAGGAAGTGGTAGACATTTTTCAAAGCTTTGCTTGGAAACACGTTTGGTATCATCTTGGAATACACTCTGATATATTTTTATGACAAAAAATTAAATAAAAATATTAAAACTGAAAGCACAGCAAATTCCCTACAGTTCATCACATCTTTCCTGAAACATGCATATGCACTAGGCACAAGACACAACCAATTTTACTGTCACTGGAGCACTCAATCTGTTTGAATGAATATGACATTATGTACAGGGTTACACCCAGTCCTACAACACTATAGGATTATAAAAATGTTTTCAGGTGAATATGAGGAGTGATAATTCAGCGAAGGTGATGTTTCCATCCATGTTTCTGATTTACAATCCTGAAGCAGAGGTTACTGTAATGTCCTTGATACTCCAGAGGTTAGACTCACTTTAACTCTTCACACCTCTGGACCATTTCCTTACAAAATTGAAGGCATCAGCAAAGAAATCTGATAGGTCAAGTATGGGTTTTAGGGAAAAAAACAACTGAACAATCTCAGACTGATATGCTCCTTTGAAGATTGCAAAGATTGAAGACACCAAACTTCAAAGCCAATACAACATACCATTATGGACTTCAAAATTTGTTTGATGTACATCAAAGGATCAAACTAGTCCTTGTCTTATCCACAAGGTGTCTTACATGAATGTTCCAGGGATGCAGAGAGCTATACTGAGTGAAACCCTTAACCCCATGAGTGTGAAAATGAGGTTATTGGAATGTTATATTCATATGTGAGATGTGCAACAGGTTTGAACTGGTATATTCACCTCAGGCCTGTTTTTAGGGTAACATAGCTATATATTTAGACTTATGAGAGGTGTTTCGACTTGTCAACATATAGAAATGATAACATGGTAAATTTTATCATTGTGATAAGACTTGAAAGAGAATATCTTTAGACCCAAGAAATAAGAGTTACTTCCCTTTACCTGAAGTTCAAGTAAGGTACTCAGTGAGTGCTAAGGCAAATAATAGTATCATAGAAAAATTACTTTGAAACTTTTATTGCTAATTAAGCCTTAGTCAGGACAGTTTTAAAATATTGATAAAATCTGCTAAAACATTATATCAAGGCTGAATTGTTTTAACAAAATTCTAAAAAAAAAAAACAATCTGGATAAATAGTAGATTAATTGATAGAATATGGTAGATCAATAAATTGATTAACAATGAACAAGACTTTTATCATGTTCTTTTTTTTTTTTTTTTAAATAAATGCTTTTTTTGATGGGAAATTCTTGTGCTCTTACTGACATTTGTAATAAGAATTTTTTTTAATAAATGCTTATTAAAAATTGCATGTTTGCAAACTTGATGGGAAATTCTTGTGCTCTTACTGACATTTGTAATAAGAATATATATTTTGATAGGCAAATCACTGGCTTTCAGAAATCTGACCACTTTGGACATTTATGTAACTCATAATCTGTAAGCATTTGATCAGACAAAGGATGTTCCTTAACTCCTTTAAACTTTTATTAGGATGAAGGATGTTCCCTAACTCTGTAAAGCTTTGTCAGGATGAAGGATGTTCTGTAACTCTGTAAAGCTGTGTTAGGATGAAGGATGTTCTGTAACTCTGTAAAGCTGTGTTAGGATGAAGGATGCTCTGTAACTCTGTAAAGCTGTGTTAGGATGAAGGATTTTCTGTAAATCTGTGTAAAACTCTGTTAACCTTTGTTAGGGTGAAGGATGTTCTCTAACCCTGTTAACCTTTGTTAGGGTGAAGGATGTTCTCTAACCCTGTAAAGCTTTGATAGGGTGAAAGATGTCCTCTAACTATGTAATGCTTTGTTAGGGTGAAGGATGTTCTCTAACCCTGTAAAGCTTTGATAGGGTGAAAGATGTCCTCTAACTATGTAATGCTTTGTTAAGGTAAATAATCAATTAAGAAGGATCTACCTGTTCATGAAAGTTTCTTTGTTATGGTATGCCCATATCTGAGGAACAATTCATTGTCATTGCCTTAAGAGACACTTTTTTGATGAAAAACTTATGAAACCTCGTAAAGATGTGAATAACTAAGTTATCTTTAGCAAGTTCACATTTCAAACATCTGATCCCATGTTCAAGGTCACAGTTTCCGGAAAATAAACATGATTATGTTGTTAAACAAATTGCTTGGCTACTAAAGGTCAAGGTCACATGGCTACATTACAAAAGGTCTAGGTCAGTAAGGTTTTGTTAGAGCATAAAGCAGTTACCATATTTGATGCCTGCAAAAATCTCTGAGAGAGGGGAAAATATATCCAAGAACAACATCCAACAAACACTCGTGTATGTTGTAGTTCATCTTCAGATTCTAGGAAATGTTTTTAACTATCATGTCTGTTATGGCAATCATAGATACCGTGCTAATTTCAAGGGCAAGATACACTTCTGATACAATGATACTGAAATGGACAGGTGTATACTGGCATCTGCTGGATTTGTTTAAGTATCATGTTTTATTTTACAGAGTGTGGACAGTGGTATGAAGAAGGAACCAGATATGTTAAGGTATGTCATTTTACAGATTCATAATTAAACCAACTTAATGGTATTTTTGTCAGCAAGATTGCATGTGTTCACAACTTCAAACATCAGAAATAGTGTATTTAGAGACCTTGTGACAAAGTGATACTTTGGAATAACCTAACCTACTAAAGCTAGATGTTCTAGTTGACAATTTGATTATCGACAATTGCTTTTCAAATTTTTGAAACACATCAATAAAATAAAGAATTTTCAGTATATAATTCATTTACAAACTTATATTAAATGTTTCACTGACAATCTTGATAAATTGTGCTCCATTGTCTGTTATATCAACAAACTTCGGTCAACAAAATCAGGGTTTTCCATAAGAGCCGGTTGCCGGCCAATTTGACCGGCTACTTTGATCATTTGGCCGCCTACACCAATCCAGTTCCGTAATAATGTTTCATACACAACTACACGTACACGGCAGGCCAGCCTCCTACTTTCACTACACAGCCTTCTACTAACAAAATTATGGAAAAACCTGCATAATGGTTACGACATCATAAGAAAGGGTGTGACTTTTACTCCGGAGCAGCTAATATGTGGATCAAATTGAAGAAAATGGTTAAAAATTGGTTTTGAATCTTTTGTTGTTGGGATACAAAGATGGGTGTAGGTACTGTATTTGCATACTAAAGTTATGGTAATTATTACTTAAATGAAATTGGTTTTACAGTACATATACTGTTGCGACTTATAACCTGGAAAAAACCGTATTGAAATATCGAATGATTTGGGAGATTTATTGAAAATTGATTTCAAATATTGCAGTTACAAATAGGAAGACTCTGTCCTAAATAGGAAAGATTGAAAAAAGTATAAAGATCAAATGCATGGTATTCCCCAGTTGATCTGATTTTCTCCCACAGTGAAACACGAGTGATTTATGTAAGCTGATACCTCGTATCAGGACTGTTTTAGAATAATGAAATTTAAATTTTGAATATTTGTGCGTTGAAATAATCCCAAATTCCATAAAATATGTTCCTATTTCAAATATCTCTGTTGAAAATGCTTTTGTTGGGAATGTATCCCCACAAAGTCTCCTTGATATTAGACAACTATTGTATCCCATTTTCTTTCCTTTTTTTTCTTTAAATATTGCAATTTATGTAAGAGTTATCTTTCTTGGCACTATCCCTTGGTGAAAAGCAATTGTATTTGGTTTTGAAGAGTTGCTTCCCTTGTACCATATTAGTTATAGGGCATATATTCTTATTGGTTCCTTGCATATCCTTCAGCATGGCATTAGAAATTTTAAAACTATTCTATTGCATAACTTTATATATTATTATTAGTCTGCCACATGTTGATGCATAAAGGCTAAGCTATGTAGAACACATTATCATATGAATGTAATATATTTATGGGTCTTCTACATAAGCTGTGTGAGTCATCGGTAATAAAATCTTCTCACAAGGTGTATAACATGTATGTCAAGAGATGTGGAAGACAAAAGTACTACACCCCTAGTAGATACTTCCTCAACAGCCTTACCACAAACCACTTATGTAAGAACATGCTCAAAAGACTGATACTTTAATGTCCTTCCTCCATCAGTTGTTGCTTGTTTTTCATTTGCTGTCAGATGTCTAGGCTTAATTCAGTTTTTCCTGGTAAAATTGTGTTTATCAGAACTGTTAACTCATTGTTCTAAAGAAGCTACATTAATCAAGATTGTTTAATCCCTCATTCAGTTTTATACAAGCAAATCTGATCCAAGTATTCACATCATTAGTCTGTGGAGTTGCATCAGTGATACAAGTATTTACATCAGTAATCCAAGTATTTACATCAGTAATCTAAGTATTTACATCAGTGATACAAGTATTTACATCAGTGATATATGTTTCTACATCAGTAATACATGTATTTACATCAGTAATCCAAGTATTTACATCAGTGATCCAAGTATTTACATCAGTGATCCAAGTATTTACATCAGTGATCCAAGTATTAACATCAGTGATATATGTTTCTACATCAGTAATACATGTATTTACATCAGTGATCCAAGTATTTACATCATTGATCCAAGTATTTACATCAGTAATCCAAGTATTTACATCAGTGATCCAAGTATTTACATCAGTGATATATGTTTCTACATCAGTAATAAATGTATTTACATCAGTGATCCAAGTATTTACATCAGTAATCCAAATATTTACATCAGTGATATATGTTTCTACATCAGTAATAGATGTGGTCGGGTGGCGCAGTGTTAACGCACTCGCCTTTCACCTAGCCGACCGGGGTTCGATTCCCGGAATGGACGTGAAAATGTAAGGGGTCACCTGCCCAACCGCGTGGGTTTTCCCCGGGTACTCCGGTTTCCTCCCACAATAAGGCCCCTCGCGCGCTTACATCTGGGCCAACAAGAGTGATTATTATAAGTTTAAATAACTTGTTTCGCAATTGTTGTAAAACAAATAAAGTTTATATATTTATAGTAATAGAAGTATTTAAATCAGTAATCAAAGTATTTAAATCAGAGATCCAAGTATTTACATCAGTAATCCAAGTATTTACATCAGAGATCAAAGTATTTACATCAGTAATACATGTATTTACATCAGTGATACAAGTATTTACATCAGTGATCCAAGTATTTACATCAGTGATCCAAGTATTTACATCAGAGATCCAAGTATTTACATCAGTGATCCAAGTATTTACATCAGTGATCCAAGTATTTACATCAGTGATCCAAGTATTTACATCAGTAATCCAAGTATTTACATCAGTGATATATGTTTCTACATCAGTAATACATGTATTTACATCAGTGATCCAAGTATTTACATCAGTGATCCAAGTATTTACATCAGTGATATATGTTTCTACATCAGTAATACATGTATTTACATCAGTGATCCAAGTATTTACATCAGTGATCCAAATATTTACATCAGTGATCCAAGTATTTACATCATTGATCCAAGTATTTACATCAGTAATCCAAGTATTTACATCAGTGATACAAGTATTTACATCAGTGATCCAAGTATTTACATCAGTAATCCAAGTATTTACATCAGTGATATATGTTTCTACATCAGTAATACATGTATTTACATCAGTGATCCAAGTATTTACATCAGTGATCCAAGTATTTACATCAGTGATCCAAGTATTTACATCATTGATCCAAGTATTTACATCAGTAATCCAAGTATTTACATCAGTGATATATGTTTCTACATCAGTAATACATGTATTTACATCAGTGATCCAAGTATTTACATCAGTGATCCAAGTATTTACATCAGTAATCCAAGTATTTACATCAGTGATATATGTTTCTACATCAGTAATACATGTATTTACATCAGTGATCCAAGTATTTACATCAGTGATCCAAGTATTTACATCAGTGATCCAAGTATTTACATCAGTGATCCAAGTATTTACATCATTGATCCAAGTATTTACATCAGTAATCCAAGTATTTACATCAGTGATACAAGTATTTACATCAGTGATATATGTTTCTACATCAGTAATACATGTATTTACATCAGTGATCCAAGTATTTACATCAGTGATCCAAGTATTTACATCAGTGATCCAAGTATTTACATCAGTGATCCAAGTATTTACATCAGAGATCCAAGTATTTACATCAGAGATCCAAGTATTTACATCAGTTATCCAAGTATTTACATCAGTGATCCAAGTATTTACATCAGATATCCAAGTATTTACATCAGTGATCCAAGTATTTACATCAGAGATCCAAGTATTAACATCAGTAATCCAAGTATTTACATCAGAGATCCAAATATTTACATCAGAGATCCAAGTATTACATCAGTAATCCAAGTATTTACATCACTCTATTTACATCAGTAATCCAAGTATTTACATCAGTAATACATGTTCTACATCAGTGATACATGTATTCCCATCAGTGGTTGGTGTCATGTATTTACATCAACCATACAGGTATTTACATTGGCGGTACATATTTGTTAATAATGAATATGTGATATATTAAAAACAAGTGTATCAGCTGTGATGCTAGCCTTCTGTTAATGGGAACTGTAAGCTGAGGGGTACTAGGTATGATTCAGCTGCTGGGAGGCTGTGTAAATACTTAATTGTTGTTTAATACTGAGCTGAGGTGGCACTGCTTGGAAATTAATTAAGAAAATTTGTTTCCTGAAGAAAATTGGATGAGAACAAGCACTTTTGATATTTCCCACACTGGGATAATCTCAACTAACAGCTTTTCTTTGTCTATATTGAATATAGGATGTGATAAAAGACAAAAAAATAATCAGGAACATTTGACCATTAATCTGTATCAGTATTAGTATCGGTAAATCAGCATTTATAGGGAAATACAGCTATCAAACAAAAAGTACATTTTTGATACATTTATTCCTATTTCTGTTCAATGCTATTATATCTAGTACAATGCATATGTGTTTGTAAAAGAGCACATTTTAGGAATTCATATCAGAAAGAACACAGATCATTGTTTGTATATTATAGAACATTGTATTGTGTTGAGGCCATCAGGGGGCATCAGCTTATATCAATACAACTTGTAGTGAGGTCATCAGCGACATCAAGTGGTGTCAGTAGAACTTGTAGTGAGGTCATCAACGACATCACGTGATGTCAGTACAACTTATAGTGAGATATATCACTAAACCTAGTTGGGAATGTAAGTACAGGTATATCTCTACACTGGTTATATCTCTACAATGGGTATATCTCTACACTGGGTATATCTCTACACTGGGTATATCTCTACACTGGGTACATCACTATACCTAGTTGGGAATGTAAGTACAGGTATATCTCTACACTGGGTATGTCTCTACACTGGGTATATCTATACTGGGTATATCTCTACACTGGGTATATCTCCAATGGGTATATCTCTACGCTGGGTATATCACTATACCTAGTTGAGAGTGTAAGTACAGGTATATCTCTACACTGGGTATATCTATACTGGGTAT